CAAATCGTAAAAGTCTTATATTTACTACTACTACCTACTATTGTGCCTATACCCCCACACCCCCACCCTCGCTCAAACTTTACAGCCTTAAAATTTTCGCGTATATACTCGCTACCCTTGCTGTCGCCTACCCTCGCTGTCGCACCCTCGCTGTCGTATAAGGGTTGTACCCTGGTATGTTGTTTAGAAGAGAGAGAGAGATAGAGAGAGAGACAGAGAGAGAGAGACAGAGAGAGAGACAGAGAGAGATAGGGTAGCAAAGGGGACAGAAGCGGGGAAATATTTTTGTGCGCGTCGCTTGTTCCCTGCCCCTAAAACTACCTTCCTAAAGAGGCTAGGCTAGTATGTGTTACGCTAATAATTGTTTACTGCTTACCTGTTCTCTCTCCTTCTCCTCTCTCCTCCGCCTCTAAGTAGTAAAGGAATTAGAGGGGTTTATATAGAGGGGGGCAGGGAAGCGGGGTAGAGTTAAAGGAGCGTTCGAGTTATATTCGAAAGCAGGAGTATTCGAGTCAAATCTAAGATTATTTACTTTTATCAAGTGGTTTTACCTTTAATTCTAGCGCCGGAATATAACCCTAACCCTAAGCTAGTTTACGATTTACGACTTGCGATTTCCTATAAAATAAACTTAAAATCGAGTATATACGATTTACGATTTACGATTAAGTCATCTGGTTTAGTAGTAGATTCGGGTTGCCGTAACGGGCGGCACAAGTCTTCGCAAAGCTGGTGGTGAACGGGGGTGCGCAATTGCAATGTAGCAACCAAGCGTTAAATTTTAAAATAAATGATTTAAGATTCTAACTATAGGAATATAACTTCTAATCTTTATTAAGAATATTTATTTGAATACTATATCTTATAATATATAATAAGAGTAACTTATTAGAATAATCTTTATACTTTTTAAAAATATAAAGAAAGTAAGATTATACCTTCTTATAATCTAGTATATTTATACTACCTACTATATTATAAAAGTACTTAAGAACTTATAACTTATACTATAGGTTATAAATAATCGCTACTAATACTTATTATATTATTATATACTTATTATATTATTATATACTTATTATATTATTATATACTTATTAAAGTACTTATTTATTTTATTTAGGGCGGCTTTTATTATATTTTTAATAATCTATTACTCATTTTTGTTAGTAGCCTAAATATCAAGTTATTAATATAATAAAAGATATTCTAGAATCGTATTATAAAGTATAGAATACTTTTTAGCTTATATTTATATAGTTAAACGTTAAAAGAGATTAAAAAATAAGAATATATTCTAGAGAGTCTTCTAATTATCTTTATCTAGAGTTTTATACTATTTTATAAAAGCGTCTTACTTCTATTTATATAGAATAGACTTTAGCGTAGGAGCTAGCCTTAGCGTAGCCTTAAGTATTTAATCTATAGAATTCTATCTTATAGGTATATTAAATAGTAACTTGACGAGCGTAATTAACTTTTTCTTATAAGTATAACTTATAATATTATTTAGCTTAATTTTATTATAAGTAAGTTAATTAAAAAAATAGAATAACTTATAATGTCACGAATCACGTGTTAGCACGGGACAAGTGAAGTCCAGGCGGCGCCCTGAAAGGACAAGCACATCAGAAAGACCTTATAGCAAATAGGGATCCTTAGACTAGCTAAGCGATCCAGGGATTTCTTAGTATTCATAGTCACGTGATGAAAGCGCGACAGCTCGACTGAGCGAACTGTCGCAGCGCGACAGTCAGTGTGACGGTTCTAACCGTCACCACCATTCGGATCACGTGGTCTCGCTTAGCGACCCACACCAAGTATTTAGATCGAAGCTCTCTCGAGCTCTCCTCTTCTCCTCAGCTTAGAATCTTTGTTTAATTGACAGTTCTACGATTCCACAACCTACACNCCCACACCAAGTATTTAGATCGAAGCTCTCTCGAGCTCTCCTCTTCTCCTCAGCTTAGAATCTTTGTTTAATTGACAGTTCTACGATTCCACAACCTACACCGTGGGCCTTGCGTACGTGTCGTCACAGTCAGGGACAGCGATATTCAGAGAACGAAGGTTCTATATAAGACTGGCATGTCTGCCATTAGATAGGAGCTTCGTGCTCAACTTAGTTATCAATCTTATCATATTAGTTTGACATCTTTGATACAAGTAACGAGTTCACTTCCAAGTGAACAACCCGATAGTCTTCTTCTTATCATAGCATACCAACCAGCGAACACCCAGCCAAGTTTAGTTAGCCAGTTTGAGTATTCGTTACACCAGGGTATCATGAAATGCGTGACATGTGTGCGATACTTCTTATAGAATTGTAGAATTCTTTTTTTAGAGTAGCGTTTGGCAACTGGAATTCCATTACATTCCAGAAGGGGGGTATAGAGAATTTATTCTTTTCTATACCCCCTATTCCACTAGAGTTCTATAGAACCCATTTATCTAACCTAGAGAAAGGTATACCCGGTCTAGCTACTTATAGGAAGGCTAGATTCTATAAGGAATATTACTAGTATTATAAAATATAGATTCTGTCACGGATGCCAACAAAGGATAAAGTGTATACAGCTTTTGAATCAATTGCTAGAACTAAAACCGTAGGTACGAAGAAATCAAACTAAAGAGAGAAGAGAATCTGAAAGGAGCGAAGTTATTTAAGTTGTTCCAATGCCAAGTCTCGTCACGTGCTTGGCCAAGCGAATGAAAATCTGTCAAATGAAATCCAGCTCCGTCACAGATTCTTATCCTACTACAAGTTATAACTTTTGTGATATAGCTAGTATTAAATAATAAAGAGATCTAGGTAAGTTAATTATAGCGGATAAAAAGATATAATATAAGTTAAGGAAATTATATTATAGTATAAAATTAAGTAATATTTACTTTAATACCCCCCCTCTAAATCCTACCTTATAATTAGTTTTAAAAAACCACTCTAGAATTCTAGAGCTTATTTGATAGAATATTCCATTCTATATATAAGGTCAGCGTTAGAAATGATTTGATTTAATTTGATTAATAGTACTTAATTAAATCAAATTAGACTAATATATCGATTAATCAAATCAAATCGCTAAGTAATTAGACTAATTCAGACTAATTCAGATTAATACGGATTCCGGTCGGTCCGAGACTCGGGGTAGAGTCCGGAGTAGTCCGACCTCCCTATATAACGTATAAGTAGAGCTTATAAAACTTTTATATTATAAGACTCTTCCCTTACTTTAGTAGAAGGCTTATAGTACTAATTATTTGTTACTACTAGTATAGGGGGTCACGTGTAATTATATAACTTAAATAAGAATATAATAATAAAAGAGACTCTAAAGGCTATACTAGTAATAAGTATAAAAAGCTAGGGGTATTTCGTAAACAAGGACGATGACATACTACCAAAAGACGGGTTATTTAAGGGCAATTACTTTGTACTTTATGTGACGGTTCTGACCGTCACGTGCCATTCATATCACGTGGCTTCCTTAGCGAACCACATTGTATTTAGACTCAAGCTCTCTCGAGCTCTCCTCTTCTCCTCAGCTTAGAATCTTCGAATAGACAGTTCTACGATTCCATAACCTACACCTTGGACGCCCCTTGAGCAACACATCGTACGTGTCGTCACACTTTAGTTACTATTTATAATATAAGTTATATTAATTAATTAATACTCTGATTAACTAAATGGGTTAATCAAATCAAATTAACTAGACCTGTTAATCAATTCAAATCAATTCAAATCTGAATAATTCAGAGTATTAATTGATTAGTTGATTATTTTTTTCCAACGCCGTATAAGGTGCTCTGGAATATTCCTGTTAGAATGGAATTCTATAATTCCATGGAATCGAGTTCCACTTGCCGATCGTTGTTTTGGAGTTGTGTTATGTTGATTAGGTTGTTTTTGAGGAGGAGGGTTAGGGATCTGTAGTTGTTTTTCTGACTTGAGTACTAGGTTCTCACTCCCTGAGAGTTTTTTGATGTTGGAATAGCGTTTTGTTTTCTGGCTATTGGACGTTAAGTTCCGATTGATTTTGATATCAAATTCGTGGATCTTCTCACTTATTTTTCCTCCTCCTTTATCTTCCCACTGAAAGTACTTTCCCAATACATCTAGTCTTTCCAAACGAGCTTCCACTGCCTTTGAATGCTCAACGCCTGTGTCTTCCACCTCAATATTGATCGCCCATCCTTCAAGTGGATGATTTCCTTAGACTTTCTGAGCTCCTGTCAATTCTAGTCCCGTCATCTCCCCTCCGCGATTTAGTAGGCGGTTGTTTGCCAGAATCAACATTGTCACCCTGTCTTTTTTCCCCACGTGCTCCCGAACTTGATTGAGATCCAGTCTTTGACCCCTGGTAAGGAAACACAAGAGCAGTTATACTTCTCTTCACTCTCGCTCTAAAGTCCGCTGCTTTCATATCCTCGGATTTCATAACACCGTATACAATCAGAATACTCGCAACCAACGAATAAAGATTCTCCATAACTCTCGGAGAGTAGTCGGGTATTCCCCGCTCATACTTCTCATTTATCTCTTGAAACCTCAATTTGACAACGTCTCGTGATTCGCTTATGAAAGTGTCTGGTAGCAGGCTATAGAGTAGCAAGACTGGAAAATCTAATGCGAGTGTGAATTCCCGTATCTCGTCCAATAAGTCTTTGGCTACATTTAGGTATCCTAGCCTATATGCAGAAATTGCTTTCTCGAGGGACTTTTGGTTTTCCCCTGTTTCGCGTCTTGTTCTCCTTTGTTCGCGAAGTGCTGTTGTAATAGAGTATTTCTTGACTAATTGAGATTGGTCGAATTTCCATTTCTCCACTTCGTCATTGAAGAGGGGTGGTGGTGGAAATTCGAATGAGGCAGGATCTCGATCCTAGATAGAATAATCTTTGTTTAGCTACTTCGCGATAGGAATTCTCAACACTTCTAGAAGTGCTTTGGAATCATGGTCAAGTGCCACTTACTCCTATCTCACGTACACAATCCTCCCCTCGGATGAGTCTCAGATCACTCTCCTTCTCGTCTTGCAATCCGTATATTTTTGGGATTTTCAAAGCATCTCGTCCAAGTTTAGTAACATGGGTCCAGAATGCCTCCTACTGAATATTCTCCATATATACAGTCGCGACAGGAAAAAAGGTCATCTTTGCTCCCTTTCCGAATTTTTGAGTTTTCAGTCGAGGCAGTTCGCTGCCTGAGTCGTACCTTGAGAAATTTGGATAAGATACCAAAATCGTACCAAGAAAAGGTATATCTGTTCTGTACTCTTCTGATTTACGCCCCGCATTTTGATAAGAGAGGCTAGCCAGATTACCCATAATTCCACCGAAATACTGCAATGGAAGTGTCAGTGGGCCATTACTTGGAATCGCGTAATGGCTTCTTATATATTCTTACAACGTTTTCCCACGACCAACCCGTTTCCGCAATCTCTTCATCCTCAAAGAACTAGTCAAGGTTCATTAGCAAGTTGTGAAAGTTGTAAGAAAGTTGGCCAATTACTGGTTCTGGTGCCCCTTTAAAATTACGAATATCACTCCTAGAATTTTGAGTAAGTCCACAGATGACGTGCTTCAAATGTATGTTAGCTTTTTGAGCCCTGGAACCATTCAGGAGAATAACGAACTATTGTCTCATGTATGAGCTAAAATATCAGTTGAACACCTCTCCAATGGTGACATGGAAAACTAACGGTCATTGCTACGTAAAATTGTTGAGTAAGCCTCTCTGACTCCTAGAAGTGGTCGGTCTTCAGAACCGGGTCAATTAAGTGTATGGATAAATTAATTTTACCCTGAGGATTATCATCATCATCATCTTCCTCACCACCTCTAGCACAATGCCATGGAGGCGTAACCGTCGACCAGCCATCGTTTAAAGTCTTATAGTCTCTCCCTGGGGAGATCTGCCAATCTACTTCAAGATATTGTAACTCATCCATACACTTCTGCCATCTTTCATCGGTTAATGCATTCGGTCCATTTTGTGAACGGAATCGCCAACCACCATCTTCTTTGTAACTTTTGTGTGGCATATAGAACTCATACAGGGCCAATCTCATCCCATGGACCGAACAACATTGCTTCTAGACTACAGTATAAAGTTCAGCGAATTGAAAATAAAATAAAATGACAGATAATTATCTCTTACAATGGGAATAGCTTCATATTAACCATCAATACTGTTGCTAAGCGCAGACAAGGTTCCAACACTTCCCATACAAAAGGATTTTGAATCGTCCATTTTCCCGGTATCCTACCTCCAATATTCATATTTATCATTTTCTGATCTACATCTACCCATCTATCTTTTGTCCAACAGGATAATATCGGACATGACAAGTCATTTGGTAAGGCGTTTTTATGGCCCCAACAACCCATGTCTTCTAATTGGGCTATCGTGAAGCCGTCCAGACCATCTTGTTCGGAGCGTATCAATTCGTCATAGAACTTTAAATCTTGTTCTGATATGACAACATTCTCGTCACTAGGAGATGGGGCGCGACGCTAGGTTTTTGATCAGTTTACTTGGTTCTTTGGGATTGAATACAGAGTACGAGGTATGTAGGTATTCCACGTGGTTCTATGAAGACATGTTTTCCACTGAAAAAATAAAACCAAGTGCAAAGAATGAAATCCTCAAACTTACATTTTCATGTCTATAAAGGTGTGGGTGAGGCTGATAAGTCATTATTGAGGGGTTCTAGGGGACAGCGATTTAACCACCAGTTATGTAGTTCGAAGATACCGCGGTTCTGGTCTTGTTATACAAGTGACGTTAGGATTTAGAGAACATACAACCTAGAGGTGAGATGAAACGGGTTGCACGATAAAAGAGACAATTTCCCTTTATCGAATATTTACCAAATCTCCGCGAACAAAAAAATTGCTGTAAGCGTAGATTCTTGGAAAAGGTGTTGGACTTGGACAAAGAAGAATTAGGATTTACCCATAATCCTTTATAAGGGCAATAGCGTACCTAAAGATTTTCTTTCCTTTCAAAAACGAGTTTGAATGAGACGTTGTGAGACTCGTTTATGTTCAATACACTAAAGGTTCTCGCTTGTGTACTGTACGAGTTGGTCTCACTGAGACACTCACGGATCCCCATCTTTTACTTATTCTTAGTGCGAGAAAAAGGACTGAAAAACATTGACATAGCTAGGATAGTCACTCACAAAGGGGATCAAGAGAATAGTAGGTGATTCATTATTCATTATGTGTGCTTGGTTCCTATGCTATTGAAAACGCAGGACGGTCCTTGTTTGCGCAAAATCTGAGAGCCAATTTGCTAAACGCCATGCCCAAATATCAAAGCCAGATGCCAATTTAGGATGGATTAATGCCATTCCAAAACACAACAACAATGCAAATCCCAGACTGGGCCACTCCAGTTTAATATCCGAGAAATTCTCGTCCCTTCTGCATATCCGCTGGAGAAGCACTCTCAGCACTCAACCAATCCTTCGCCTTCTGAACAACAAGTGCCCAGGTACCCTCTTCATCCGCCATGTTCTTTTCCAAATAGTAAACAACGACCAAAGTAATCCAAATATTGCCATCAACGATATCCGGGCGTCCACTAGTCTCGATACCAAGGATCTCAAGAATATCAGTTTCAGCATTGCTTGACCAACTGCCGTTGAAGTTCTGAAGCTCAATAATGGCGTGGATATTTTCTTCGTTTGTTGCTGTTTTGTAATTTGTTTTTGAGGTTCTCTTACTCGACAAACCAGGGGAATCGGAAAACGAATCAGAACCGGTATCACTTGGGGACGAAAGACCTGCACCACCATCGTACTTTGAAGGAACAATGCGGCGGTAACTGAAGCTTCCAGTCGCGGCTCTCATCATTTTTGCTGGCTGGAAAGAGCGACCCTCAACGGGCTCAGACGAAAGTCCTTTTCTCTTTGAAGATCTACCTCGAGGCTTGTGTTTAACTTTATTTGGACATTTGTATTTAATCTGTACGCTTCTAACACTGTTTCCGGGTAAAGTGCTAGATATCTCAGCCTCATCAGCGTCGTCAGCATCGTCTTCATCATCATCGGTTGAGTCGGAGGCTGTCTTTCTAAGAATTGAAGAAAGTGGCGGGAGTTCCTGAGGGGCCGTTCGCAAATAGCTTCCCACGCCCCTGAACAAAGGCGGGCTTGACTTTCCCACGCCCATGCTCATGGAATGATGAATGAGGTTTTGTTGATTGAGATGCGTAGATTGCATTTAATGATCTTGAAGAGTACCGGCGAGGATATTATTAGATCTCGTTGCTCTCCCCATAACAAGTGGGCTTGTCATGCTCATGTGAGAAGTATTGTGTATTTGTTGACCGAGAAGCATAGTCTGCATTTGATAATTCTGAAGAGAACTCGTACCCGCCTGGTTACCAGATGTACCGGAGGTGCCAGAAAATCCCGCTGTACCTACATGCGTTTGATTAGTTTCAGAAGAAAACTTGAGGAGGAGTATAGATTAATTTACCATGATGCCCGGCAATTTTCTTGCTAGGCTCTGCGGCAGTATCGTTGGCAGTCACAGCCACAAAGGAACACCATTTTCCCGCAACCTGATATCTTTCTCCTAGCCTAACACACTCCTTGTTGACAAGGTCATTGAAACTGCTGGGATGGAGATCTTTAATAAGCTGGTCATGTTGACCCTTGGCGTCATAGATCCAGCCTCTACCTTCTTCCATATCTTGGGATGCCTTTTTAGCTGCGAGCTGATGAATGGTATCTCCTGGTTGTGACAAAGCTTCGATTGGGATTTCAAGTTCGAGAGGTCCATGTTCAGAAGTGGCTCGGAATACCACTGAAGTGGGATTACGACCAAAGGTTTCCGGTGACATGAGAATGTAAACTATTGTTCGAGAGAAGGTGAAGAGGGAGGGTATCTTGTGTGGGGCTTGGAGAAGCTTTGGAGATGGAATATTGGGCAATTTGGGGTCTGCAGCTTTTGTCTCTCCCTTTTCTGGTTGCGCGTTATTATTGAAGAGCGAAATGGTTGGTTTATCATCAGGCTCTGTATTGACAAGAAGAACTCTCATCCCATCAGTAACCCTGTCGACAACCTCAAAATCGTCATCCTCGCTTGCGTATTTGACCTCCAGAGTATAATTTGTAATATGAGACGTCAATGCCCCACGAAGCATTTTCACAACGGCGGTGTCCAATCTTTCACCCCCTTGTACCGCTTGTGCAAATCCATTTCCTGCTCTGGCGACACCCTCAATCAAAGCATGAGATACTCCTCGTCCAATACCCAGTGGAAATACGCGTATCTTTCCGCCACTGGCATTGACTTGCTCGTTGAGATAAGCAAACATGTCCTCTTGACTCCAAATATCGCCATCAGTCAGGAGCATGATCTCCATTGGAATATCGCCCCATCTGGTCTTGATTGTTTCTTGAATAGCAGCAAGTGTTTCTGTGCCGCCAAGGTTTGCTGCAAAAGATTCAACGTGATCAGATGCTTCCTTGAGAGTTTCGGCATCGTAAGTTTTACTTTTTTATCATAGAAACTTGACCTCACTACCGAATGAGCAGATGTTGAATTTGATGCCAGCTGGCATGGACTTGAGAAAGACCTTCAGAGCTGAGATGAGCATCGGCATATTTCCTCCCATACTGCCACTACAATCTGCGACAAAGATAATCTCTGGCCTGGATGGAGGAAGTGTGAATTTGGGAACAAGCGTTGCCATCAATGCTCTTTGACTAGGGATCGTAGAATGAGTTTCCAAAATTGCCTTTGGTAAACCAGAATCTTTTGTCTGAACAATAAGCACAAAATCCTTCTCAAGTGCAGCACTTCCTAGTGCCAAGGTTGCCGATGCTTTGCTCATGGTGGGATCAACTTCTGTTGCAGTTGACAATGTACCCATTGAAACTGCGATTGGGTGGGAAGGCGATTGTACCCCTTTTATGAACGATCCGTCTGGGATATCGATATCAACGACAATTTTGATACCTTCTTCGAAATCCGATAATGCCGAAGCCACAGTCGCCGGTCCTGGTCCATAGCGAGGTGCAATGATAGTTGGAATCGTGAATCGTATGTTGTCACCATCTCCGTTCTTCAATTCGCCGATGTAGGTAACTTCCACCAAAACACTCTCTCCAGCAGGGATGTTGCCCAACTTGGTGCTGAAGACATCAGATGCTTTACGAGACTGCTCAAGCAGACCCGCAGTTTCTCCCTTGGCGACAGCTTCATCAAAGACCTTTTTGGCTTTGAGCTTTTCTTTGACAACACCATATAGGACTTTCTCACCGATACGACAGGTGAATTTAACAACACTGACGTCAGCATAGAGGGGGAACCTATAGACACATTCTTTGATGGGAGTGTCTCTTGAGGGATTGGTAAATTCTTGAGTGAGGAGAGTTCGAGAGGTGTTGCTCAAGATAGTGCTATGGAAAGAAGCGGAGACTAGAGGGAGGTATTCGGTTTGAGGCGAGATCAGTTGATGGGAAGATGGGATGGTATAGTAACATCCACATATATTGAGAGGCCTCATTTCTGTAGCAGTCTGCTGCTTACAGCTGCGATGGATGTTGACAGATGAGGCGTTGTTGTGATTGAAGGTAAAAGGCCCTGTGTGTTTGCGATGGATGAGGAGAATTTTTCAAGGAGAGGATTGATGTCAGAAAGATGTAGCTGGAGCAACCTCTCTTATTGAGCTTGTGCAGAAGGGCCGAGATTGAGTCAACGTTGTTGCCTGAGAAATAGAAGTTCAGAGATTCTATTGGTTGCTGCGACAAACTTCGTCTTCCTGATCCCGTGATTTCGGCTCTTTTACCCCTATAACTTCAGGTGACTCAACTGTTCGTTAAATATACCCTGTTCCTCTCAGATTTGACCCATTACAAGACAAGAAGACTCTTTCGTTGCGTGTGACCTGATTTGAAAGGGTCAAACTTGTTATCTATTGAGGTACACAATTTTGAATGACAAGAAATGGGCAAGAATTGGCAAACCAGTACACGTTTTGTCTAACTGTTTCTCTGCTGGTACCAGTGACGAAGTGCTAGGTCAATACCTATACCTATAGAACATTAAAATTCTGTCTACAAGGATAAATCAAAAGACTTTTAATGAGAGCAAGGTACAGATACACATTCGTGAACTCTCAATAAACCCACCCCTTTTCTTGGTAGATACCGTAAAATTCTCAAAGGATTGTTGATTTGAGGCATTTTTCCTGAATCTGGATATGGCTTATATTTTACAATTCGTCATTTCAGGGCGCACTTTGTAGTTCGCAGTTCGCAGAGCAGAAATGAGAAGGTCTTATGGATTTTACAAAGCAATGCCAAGCAAATACAGGCAGCAGTGAGAGTCAACCAATCAGTGACATACACAGGAATAACAAGTAACACAAACTGCATACTGCTTGGAGAAGCTGCTAGTGAATAAATCGCCAACCTCTCACAGAATGGATACTAATTAAGGAAGCCTTTTTGATAAGCATACACAAGAACAACTCAGAATCTGCTTCAGATATCCGCGTGCTTCTTCTGCTCATTAACTAGTATTGATTCGAATCCATTATCTCTATCTTTTTCCATCATTTCAGTACTTCCAGTGCCTCTGCCTTCTCACGAAATATTTCCATCTTCCAATGATATCCTTGAGATCCCACCCTGAACAGTTTCTAGAGGTGCGACAAAAGCTATCTGACTCCAGCTGAACAGTGTATTTCGACCTCCAAACACGAAAACCTCAAAACGGCCCTTAAAAGTTCCATTTACCCATACTCGGCTCCCACCAATCACATCGCCTGTGATTGTGATTTCAGCAGGCACTTGAACATTTACAACTTCATGTGTTGATGTGGTTGCATTGCTCCATATGCGACCCGGATGTCCAGCGTCAAAGCCATCAGTCTCGGAGACAGACCTCAATGGGTACTCATAGCCATCTGAATTGAATATCAGGGATCCACAATTCGAAAGACTCAAGATGACATCATCAGAAGCGAGAGTAAAGGGGCCAGTCACTGAGAGACTGAGTGTATAGTTCATTCCTTTACTACCATATGCCAAAATTACTGGATCAGCTTCAGCCGATCTAGTCCATGAGACAAACTCGCTTTTTCTGTCAAGATTCTGCGCTGGGGCATTTGCTGAGAGAAAATCAATCGAGTTCACAACGGTCTCAGCATCTAAAGCCGGGCCATTCTTCCCACTCCATGCGCGAGCACCAACCAAAGGTATTCCTCGTCTCATAGCATAATAAGCTTCCAACTGTGTAGTTGCATCTGGGCCATTGTCGTTCCACGCGGCCATAATTGCTCCTTTATTTCCACTAGCTCCCGGAGGCAATTGCATACTGATATTGACCTGATTGAAAAGAGCCGGTTGCCATTGCCAACCGGGCTGGTTGGCAAAATTCAGTGTTCTGGTTTCGTTAAAGAATTGTGTGTAAGGAGCGGGATTGATTGGTGTATGGTCGTTTTTCAAGGACATATACGCCCACCAGTCCTGCGAGTTTATTAACTCGTAGCCTCCATCTTGAAGTAGAACGGGGTCTGACTGTCCATATTGCCAATGCTGAACGATTATGTTCTTTGAGATTGTCAGGTTTTCAGATGGCTCGTGAGTGCCCCATATTCTGATCTTCTTTCCCGATGTCTCATTGACGAATGATGACATTTCGTTGACAAAGTTGATGTAATCATCAGCTAATGTTGCATCGTACTCATCAGCACCGATATGGACTTCCTTGGTATGAAACCAAGGAAGGAATTCAGACCAAATCGACTTGATGGTAGGGATGCTGTCTGGATGTGTAAGATTCAAAAGATCTTTCTTCGGAAGTGCCAATTCAGGCTTCCATTTTGTGATTGTCAAACAATGTCCCGGTGCTTCTATTTCAGGGATCACTGTAACTCCGTGACGAGCGCAGTGGTGTTGTAAGTCCTCAAAATCTGCTCTGCTGAGAGTCTCATTTGGTCTCTGTACGAGTCCATGCAAGTTTGGATTCTCAGGATGAAGTGAAAATTGAGCGTGAACAAGATTCCATGTTGCATTGCGCCCTCGATTAAGCGGGTAATTATCACTCGTGTGATAATGAAACTCTGACATCTTGAAGAAAGAAGCGTACGTGCAGAGTTCTTTGAGAAAATCAGGCGAATACCACTTCCGGCCAGCATCCAACATATAACCTCTTGTCGCGTAAGCAGGTGCGTCGCTGATTTTCATTTCCGGCAGATACGTCAAATTTGACAACAGCAACTGCTGTAGAAATGTTCTGGTTCCCCACCATGCCCCTCGAGCACCAGATCCAGTGATGAATACATTGCCCTTGGTAACTTCAAACTCGTACCCTTCTTCTGTTGGACAACCATTTTCGTACTTCAAAGAGGCCGAAAGTTTTGGATCATAATCTAGAAAGATCCCGGACTTATTCAATGCCAAATTTTCGGTCACCTTCATCGTCCAGTATTTCTCGGTGATGCTTAACAATTCATCGCGAAATATCTCCACAAATTCTTTCCCTGACGGTGGGATGAGTGTCAAACCCTCGGAATCCCGTTGCGAGGCGAGTCTCTTAGTGAGATAAATGGTTTGAGGCAGCTTACTCACTTCAATGCCTGGCAACGAATTATTGGATGAAGGAGATAGGATATCCAACGGTGGTGGTAATAGTTGGAGGGCGAGGGCGCCAGCGGCAAATGAAAGGAATTTGGGAATCATTGGTAAATCTGCCAGACTTGATCAACTGATGGACGGTGAAATTTCTGCCTTATATAATAGAACATTTGCAAGCTGTAAACATGTTTGGCAGCGCGAGTGTGGAAAATGTTTGACATCAGTGGGTAGAATGATCCGCGGCCAAGACTTCAACGTACTGTATACAGCAACGTTACTTGTGTGCGAAGATAAGCACAAATCGAGGAGACAGTGCCAGAGAAGCTAGATGCACATGGTCCAGGTGCATATAAAAAAGAAATGAGAGAATAAAATGCGGAGACGGGGATACTATACAGTAAGTGGGATCCTATACCCTTGTAAATTATACAGTGTAACCCTGGCGAGTGACGGATTAAGAAATGCGGGGAAGTGGAAGCAGGTACTGTAAGCTCTAAGTAAGAAAGACTTGTCTTTGCCATCTCGATAGTGGAGGTCTTGGAAGAATTCGGGATACACTTAGTAGTGCGCATATACCCGGAAATAATTGCAATTGGGTCGAAACTGGTCAGCACTTCTAGGGGAGTTACTGTAGTCACAAACCCAGATATTGTAAATCTAAACCAAAGAGGTGTCTCAGTATCTGCCAGCTCTATTAGTCAACACAACGCTTTGAAGTACACGGACGATACATTGCAGTCTACTTCTGGTATCGAGCAGGAATATATTGTAGGCAAGCAATCCCAACAGCACATACAATTTGAAAGCATAGCAAAACCTGATGATTTCGTACACACTCAGCCCGCCACGCCAAGAATACCTATTCACATCCTCAATGATTGAATAATACCAGAGGCAATAATACCCTTCATTTCTCAAAACGGAGACCAACTCAAAAGCGTTTTGACGGATCACTCTTTTAACTCCACTGGGAACCCATCAACGCACCCACCGCCCACAATAATCTGGCACACAATCCCGTCAAGAGACGTGTCCTTGGGATTAAGCACCAAGGGCGCACCTCGAAAGTTAGGCTGGCACATCGGCTCGCCAAATGCAGTTCGTCTTTCTATACCAGATTTTCTTCCTTCAAGTGTGTCAGTCGTGTCCAGAACGCAATACAAGGCTTGCTGCATGAACGACCCAAGGTTCTCGTCGGGCGATGCAACATGGCGCTCCAGCACATTTAGAACTCTTCGATCGTTGTTTGCAACAGGTGTTCCATCATATTCGAAAAAATGGTCGGTAACGATCATAGTGATACTTCTTGGAGTAATGTCCTCGAAAGAGATTGGAGCTACAAATAGTCATCAGAGCCTAAAGTACAAAGGTAGAGGTTTGCACCTTACGTTGCGGTGCGCGGCGTGATAGTGATTCACTATCAAGTGAAATTGGTACGTAGGTTGTGACACTGAATGAGGGAACATCATACTCTACCCTCACTTCTAGTGCCAGAGTCGTTAGGGGCGATAAGAAACAATCACCTTCTTTACAGAACACTTCATTACCGCCTTCCATGATTGGTAATTTGCCATGAGCAAGAACCATGAGAAGGAATAGTGGTGCGACAGCTTGAAAACGCATTTTGATGTATCGGAAAGAACGGATAATGAAGGGTAAGATGAAAGTAGAAGGAGACTCTTGATATCAAGTTTTAAGCTTGAAAGTGGGAATGTGCAGAGAGGTGGTGGTCAAATAATTGAAAATCAGAGAACCATTCTTATATTCAGTATTCTGACATTCCAACTTTTAATTTTAGATTTCAGACGATCAGAAGTGGCAACCAACAAGTTGGCTGAGAGACCGCAGCAGATTATCCGAGAGAAGATGCTACATTGCGCAGTTTTGGGCTGCGCATTGGTTGGGACAGTATTAGGCTGGCAAATTATGCTAAGCCCCTTTCTTTTCTACGATCTTGAACGGGACAACATGCACAATTAATCTCACACAAACCCCAGTAAAGACGAATCAAACGCGAAAAGGGGTAGGCAATGAATGTAGCGTAACAAAAAGTTGACTTGGTCGAGTCTTAGCACCCCCGTTACTTAATTCGTGCAATTTGGCAATTTACCGACATCAAGGTTATCAATGTTATCATCTGAATCTAAGAAAACAGGCCTTAGCACCGAGAATTACGAGGACTACCTGGGGGGGGGCTAAGACAGCAAGGGATTGACGTGGAAGAGGTTTCAAAATTGAACGGAATTCGGCTGATAGCATGTTTTCTTTTATAAGAAGCATAGCAGTTTATTGTGACATCGCTCCGGAAGGAAACATAACGTTGAAGATCAACCAAACTAGACTTAGACTCTACCTCGTTCTTACTACCTTACTTCTCAGACACATCCAGTAAGAAGGAAATGCAGTATGTAAAAGCCGGTTGATCAACACAAACTCCAAAATCAGTCCAATCAATTTTCGCAACCAAACATATCCTCGAATTTCTCACTGCAAGTGATAAACCTGAGTTTCGTGCCCGGAGGAAACTCTTCAAACATAACCCTAGTCTTAGGATGACAGACAAATTCAGCAATCGAAAACTTCTCTCTCTCAGTATTGATTACAATAGATTAATCCCATCAATGATAGCACGCTGTAAATGCTTCGTTCATCCATCCATCGCTGAACCCGAATATCATCATTTGAAATAAGTTCTCCATCAGGTTCAAAGAATTGATCTGTGGTTATCAAGGTGGCGTTCGTGATCGCTTGCTCCGTCAGAAATGGAGCTAGATGAAGTTAACGAATGAACGTAAAGCTTATCAATACATAAATAGGAGACTTACGAATAGCAAATTGTATGGGCGGGGGCAATGATGGACATGTGACTTTGACATAAGACGTGGCTGCGGAGGAATCGATGTAGTCGACCCTGACTTGAACGGCCAAAGTATCTTCGTTAGATTCACAAAGGACGCAGCACTGTGCTTTCTGGTCATTTATGAAGTGCGGATCGATTCCATGGTGCGCATAACCACCTGTGACCAAAATAAGGTAAGGAGAAGTGGGAAGAAATCGTAGAAAAGCATCATCATGAAAAACTCGGTAACGGGTTCAGAGTCTGTAATAAGCCGGATGATAGCAGTTAGTCTGAATATGAATCAAAGATTTAGCGATGAAACAGTACAGTACTTATAATACCAAGAGAGGACCGCAGCAAGACTGAATTCCTATTTTAAGGTACTGTACAGTACAAGCTGAGCTGACCTTAGAAACATTAGGACCAAGTTGGCTTAGAAGCTTCGGATCAGGGTATCCGAGAGAAATGTTTCAGTACTAATTTGTTGTCAATTGTTATACATGTTGGTAACACAGACTGCAGCAAGTCATTGGTCAACCAAATTCACAACCAGCTCTGAGCCTCCTTTCAAAATTCCCAGAGCCAAAGGGCTGGGAATTACAAACCAGCAAGACTAAAATGGATCCTTGCAAAACCACCCGTGTCAATCAAAATCTCAAAATCTACTTTCGCTTCAATTCCAGAACTCGCTCCAGAATTTGGCATATCATAAAACGGGGGGCTGAGGAGGATTTCAAGAGGGTTTTCGGTACAGTACTGTACACCATTCTGGCCCTTAGTAGTGAATTTGACCATAAGATGGTTCCAAAAATAAGTAGGATACTTCTATGCGATTACTAAGTACAATTTTCGCGGATTGCAAAATCAAAGTAATCAACAAGACGGAGGATGGAGAGTATACGCAGACCAACAAGAGTGAATGACCAGAAATAACACAATGGCCTATACCTGAATGAAGAATAAACTGCAGTAAAGTCAATTATTCGTACAAAGCCTTATTTCCCAAAACAATTGCTGGCTTCAGGAGGACTGCTTATGAACTTAATAAGAAATTTATGATGATGAAAAATGTGATGATAATAGACGTGTTCAATAACAACGAGGAAAACTCATTGTATTCATTCCCCTCTACCTAGAAAGATGTTAAGAAAAGGACAAATGTGGCTCCAGGCCAAAGAACCTCAAAACAACCTCTCAAATCCACTAGACAACACCACTTCATACCAATCCCGCCTTCAAACTTCCCTTTCAGCCTTTACAAGAAAAAAGCTCTCTTTCCACTAGTATCTACTGCACAGACCAAATCCACAGCGCCCGCATCTAACATCTTATTCTTCTTCCCAATCAGAGCTCGAGGGTTACAACCACCTGTACAAGCACCAGTGAAAGCACCTTATCTTATGAAAGGGGGGCACCACCACAAGGTATCTGGAAATGATACTCGACCGAGAGTAAAACGTGCGGCGTCCGACCAACAAGAGAAATCGACCATTGTCCAAAGTCGTCACCACAAAATTGAGAATTGATAACGCTCGACACAATATCCGTTAAAACCGTACAAGTCAACCGACCCACTAATTTCTGATTACCAGCTTCGACTTTAAGCCCAGCCGGGCCCTTTGCATCGCTGAGTCTAAAGTCGCTGGGGGGGATGAGTTCTCCGCTGGTCTCAAGGAACCCGCTACCACTATCCAGTAATTTATCGTTGGTCAAAGTAATCCTCCTTGCACCTGAAAGGGGGGGTGGTGCTGAGTTTATTATTAGTTTGCTTTGGAAGAAGAAGGTGTGGTAAGAAGGGTGAGATACTTACGTGTCAAGTCAGTAAAATTAAAAGGTCTGCCTGTAATGGGCGCGTAGATATCGAATGAACCTCCATCTTCATATTCTATTGTCAAACGCGCAGCCATATGGGCGTCAAAAAACCCAGACCCATCAAGAGGGGCAGCCTGGATAAGAGGAATGGAGGCAAGGAGGAACACCGAGATGATAGTTTGAAAATGCATATTCGTTTGAATTTTTGGAAGTCAGATAGTTGTATGAAGACTTGAAGACTGCAGTAAAAACAGAGGGAATGCAAGAGACTGTGACAGAAAGAAACTGATGGAGGAAAGCAAATCTTGAGAAGCAGAAGGTAGAAACTTATATATCCAAGAAGAAGCCGCAGCAAAAGGTTGAGCTCATTACAGCGACAATCAGAGACTCTATATCCGGACAGGGATACAGAATATCTGGAACCTAGGGGTTACGGCATACAAGTATCCGACGAATACGTTGGTATTTCCGTGGGCTGTGTTAGTTGTGTTGGTTGGGCTACTTCAACATTAATTCTCGACCATCTGGTCTAGAGATCAACAGCGCATGAAACAAAACAGGCTCTTGGGACCAATAACAAGCAACCAACGGAAATTGGAACACAAATAGAATGAAGTCACGGATAGAAAAACATTTCTACTTTGTTTTGAGTGATGGGAGCGGAATGGTCGCTTCCGGCGGCTGTATGTTGGTTACACGGCGCCTAAACCAAGTTCATCAGTGCCCTATTTTTAGATAGCCAGCAAATAACAGCAGATGTAACATTTAGGCCGATATGCTTGAAGGTTTGTTGCCGGTCTTTAGCACCTGCGAATTCCGGTCGAATGCTAGCCAATGTCAACTGAGTAATGTCGTGGTGAGGGATTGCTGCTAACTTTCAACTCCGCGGGAAAAGACATAGACAGTCCCTGATACTTTCTAGTCCTGTAAGGAAAAGAAAGGGCAGAGCTTCATGTGTAAGAATGTCATAGACATCGCGCACAATTTGAGTCATCAGATGTAGTTCAACCGTCGGGTATTATCATTTTCCCAAAACTCCAAAACGCTATGCTTTTCCGGCCGTATACATGGCATTGATTGTAACATGCGAGATATATGCCATTCAAACGACAGGAGCAACAAAAGACCTTAAAGCATCCTCAACCATCCCATCGTGTGATTTTAGAAGATCCGTCGCCTTGATCTTGGATAACTCCAGCTCCTCAATCTGTCCACATATCAGCTATACTGAACAAGAACATGGGAACCAGGCAGACAAATGGACATACCAGTAAAGCAACATCCGCTTGATCAACCTTGACCACCTTCTTTACAACCTTCTTCTCCTCTTCCTTCTTGGTTGCCGTTCCGTTTGTAGCCCCGCCTCCAGCCATAGTCAGTCGATCCATTGCCTTTCGCACAGCTTCTTGGTCGACGTCTTTTAGACCGGCGGAATCGTCTTCGCGAGGAGCATCTAGGGAGGAGAGCGCTGCTGCTGCTTTTCGATCTTCCGCGGATTTCGCAACGGGGATTTCATCCTCTACATCTCCGGTCGTAGCTCCCTCAACGACAGTCGGAGGTTGTTTTTCTGCCATTGTTTGTATTTGATATGAACTTTAACCAGGATTCGTTCAAGGGTTGACAGGCAGACGAGATACTGCGAGATGTTGGTGTTGTTATCAAAAATGAATGGTGATGTAGTCAGGAGCTATCCAGCCCAGCCCCTCCATTTCAGCCACACCGGATAATTTTGGCGCCGCGCCGAATGGGCGCCTGACTCTTAGGTCTTTGTCTTTGTCATGGGCAAAGCAATTGGAAATTTTTATTTCTCATACAAGTCCTCTGAAAATTTGAATCGTTCTCAGGAAATTCCCTCACAAGGCGAAGACAATTGAGGAAATCCGCTACCCAATTTGGATACATCTGGCTACAAAGATTGGCCACTCTATCATATCTCACGATGACAAGCCCTTCAGCAGGGCCCACAGCAGGGTGGTCCCCGAGTTCATGGAAGTCCAAACCCATCCAGCAAAAGGCCGTATACACAGACCAGAAGGCCGTGGAGAAATCTCTCGCTAAACTAAATCATCTTCCTCCTTTGGTACCAACTGCCGAGATTGACAAACTCAAGGAGAAACTCCGAAAGGTGGCCATTGGCGATGCATTCCTGCTCCAAGGCGGAGATTGTGCCGAGTTGTTTGATTATTGCACGCAAGATGGAATTGAGTCGAAGATGAAGCTGTTGCTTCAGATGAGTTTGATTCTGATTTGGGGCTCACATAAGCCGATTGTGAGGATTGCTCGCATGGCGGGGCAGTATGCGAAGCCGAGATCTAGTCCGATGGAGATAGTGGATGGCAAAGAGATTCCTTCATTTCGGGGGGATATCTTGAATGGGTTTAAGACTGATGAGAGAGATCTTGATCCTTCGAGACTGGTTGAGTAAGTACATATGAAACGGACAGATAATGGCTCTACTAATCTGTGCAGTGCATATTTTCACTCTGCAGCAACACTGAACTTTGTCCGGGGTTCCATATCGACAGGATTTGCGGACCTTCATCGTCCTCTTGATTGGGGTCTGGGTCATGTTCGAGATCCTGAACTTCAACTAAAGTATTCATCTACTGTGGACGCAATTGCTGACAACTTGGATTTCCTTCGTGCAACAGGACACAACACAGGCAGTCAAGAGCTGAGCACCGTCGATTTGTTCACAAGTCATGAAGCCCTTTTACTGGACTACGAGCAAAGCTTAACACGAGCCTCCAAGCTTCTCAAATCAGGTGAGCAAGCTTATTATGACACCTCAGCACATTTTATCTGGGTTGGAGACCGAACCAGACAGGTTGATGGAGCCCACATCGAATTCTTACGCGGAATCAAGAACCCAATCGGTGTCAAAGTAGGCCCAACAACCTCCTCATCCGATCTCCTCGTCCTCCTCCGAACCCTCAATCCCAACGTCGAGGTCGGAAAGATAACACTCATCACCCGCTACGGGGCCTCAAAGGTTGGTACTCTCCTCTTGGAACACATCAAGATCGTCGAAGGAAGCGAATACGCCCGCAGCGTAGTCTGGCAATGCGATCCCATGCATGGCAACACACGCTCCACATCATCCGGCATCAAAACCCGACAGTTTGCAGACATTTTATCTGAGCTCCAGCAATCTTTCCTTATCCATAAGAGAGAAGGCAGTTATCTAGGCGGTGTACATCTTGAGATGACGGGTGATGCGGTAACAGAGTGTACGGGGGGTAGTGTGGGCTTGGAGGATGATGATCTGAGCTTGAATTATACCAGTTTTTGCGATCCGAGGTTGAATGAGAAACAATCTGTCGAGTTGGCTTTTCTTATCGCGGGACATTTGAAACAGGATAGACAGGAGCAGAAAGCTAAGCGGGGCTAGATATAAAATGATTTCGATTTGGTCTAGAAATTTATCGAGTGGTTACCATATTGGCTTCAGGTCAGGGTGGGAATTTTTTGGTTTGTGGGATCTGTGGAATCCAGATCTTTACAGGATAGAAAATGGTTTTGAAATTTTGCTTCTGCAAAGGAGATGTCATTAGTGTGCTTCTTCTCCAAGATTTCTTTGGAACGCGCTTTTGTGGTTTTCTTATTACAGAGAAAAGGGGAGAGAGGGAGGAGCAATGACCATTATAACTTGACTCCCGGATACTGTTAGGGAAAGGCCTCCTGCTACCCGGAAGCCAATAGTTCATGAGTCTGAGACTTGATCCAAGGAGGTTTTTCAGTAAAGGACATAAGGTTTCTCAATTTTTGACTAGGCGAGCAGGTGCAACGATTGGTGACACCCTACTCCACATCAAAAATAATGCTAACGGGCCAGAACAAGACCTCTATACAAATAAAGATTAGAGATTTGCAAGTATTACATTGTCAAGTAGACCTGGGCACGATTCCTATATCGATCGTCGAAAAAGTAACGATATCGATATTTTGGGGTGTTTTTGGGGTGTTTTAGGGTCAATTTGAAGTGAGAAAACGAGTATTATAGGAACAAAAAGACAATAAAAACAATCGATTTAATACTATCGCCTAATAGTACTACCTTCCTTATTAATTTCTACCTTACCTAGGCAATATCCTTGTCACTCTCTAGTATAACACCTACGTAACCTACCCCAACTTCGTAAGCATGATACGTATTTCGTTCTTACTATAAATAGAGGCAGACTAGGTACGGAATCAAATAGTAGCGTTGGTTGAGTTTAGAGCGTTTTGTAATAATAGTAGTATTATCGGTAGTAGTATTAATAGTAGTATTAATAGTAAAGCTAGGGAGAATAAAGCATGCTAATTGGTCCGGGTCCGGGTTTATAGATTTTCTATATTACGTGTTACGCTAATCAATATTATATTAGATATCGTTAAAACCTCGATATTGTATCGTTAGTATATTTATAATACGAAACGTTTCCATCGTACACAGGTCTGGAATCATATAAATTCAGTCATGTTGTAAATTTCATCAGAGTTGTAATGGGTCAGTCTAGATGTAAAATGTAAGGGCTGTCCCACGAACGGTTGCATCTCCTTGGTGAGAGCAAAGCATCTTCTTTTGGTCTTAACGTGGTTTTATACGATGATATTGTGGAACTTCAATCTAGCATCTGAAATTCAACTCCTCCACTAAACTCGAATAACGATAAGGATTAAATATCCAGTACATGAGAGCAGTAGTTCAAACAAGTTCACAATAGCACCTTCAAATACATCAGTTTTAGGTCCAGTTTCTCTACGTGGGTCACTTCAAGACGCTCTTTTCTTGAATTGCAACATTGGACCATGGCGTACAGCGACATAGGCATCTTCGACCTGGAAGACATTCTTCTCTCGCTTTCCCCATGCATTCGCTGGGTCCCCCTCCCCAAGGGTGTTATTACCAGTCAGTGGTTTCCTGATTTCTAGTCTATGTAGCGTTCTCCCTATTGTCATAGATAGCTCCAAAATGGCCAAGTTCTTTCCAGGACAAGATCCTGGCCCAGTGGCGAACGGGTTGAAATTCGCACGAGCCAACTTGACATCCTCCTGCGTGACTCCGGTACTGGGGTTGGGAATCCATCTTTCTGGGTAGAAAACTTCGGTGGTGTCTCCATAAATGGCCTCGTTGTGGCCGGTTGTCCAATTAGAGGAACCGACAATGGTACCTGCTGGATAGAAATCCCCATCTATCGTCGCTCCACCTTTGCGAACTTCCCGAGGAAGCTCGCCAGGCCCCGCCGGACTCAAGCGCATGGTCTCGTCAATACAAGCTCTGAGGTATACACACGATGTCAGAACCGGTCCGTGAACAATGTCTTCTGGCGTTGGGAATTTAGAGCGAAGTTCATTCACCAATTTCTCAAGTTTGTCTGGATAGCGTGTGAGATAGAACATCATGCCGGCCATAGATGTAGATGTAGTATCTGTTGCACCGACAATAAGCGTGTTTGCTTCTGCGTTGAGCTGGTCCGTATTATATGCAGGTTTTCCGGCGTCATCTTTGGTGTCGCAAAGGAACCAGAACATGTCTTTTCGCTGTTGGTCCTCGGCTCCGAGAATCTGTTCGTTATAAAGCTGGAGGCGATCGGTGACACAGGATTCTACAAAGTTGATATAGTGCTGAATATCTGGTGGAGCAATTGCTTTCATAAGATTGTCAAGTCCACGGGGCTTCAACCAAAGAATCGTATTGAGCATAGGAGAGCGTGTCAGCTGAATTTATAGTGTTAGCGCATAACCAACATATCAACATGGTTCTCTTACTGGGTAGTAAAACTTCATGTATTTTATAACGGCATGCGGAATAGATTTGAGTGGGTTCTCGCCTGGTTCCTTCAAGTTGAAATCCGCCCCAAAACAGAGATCGCCCATGATATCAAAAACAAGTCCATCTGTTAATTCGGTAAAATCCATTGGCTCAGACCATTCGCCATCGTCGACACCTGCGATCATGAGTTCGTTCCATCGATCAACATGCTTGGTCATAAAACTCTGTGAGGCCAGTAGCGACTTTTCGTTGAAGCATTGGTTCAGCAGTTTACGGGCATGGGCGTGCTCTGACTTTTCCCTTGTCGTGAACGTGTTGACATCGTGCTTATCTTTCTGCCATGCTTCGTAGAAGGGGGCTTTTTGCACATTTGCTTTATGGGCGTAGATATCTTTGTATGCGGCAGAATCGCGAAAAACGACTGTATTAGGGGCAACCCTGATTTTGGAACCTGGGGTCGTCAACTCAACTCAATTCAATGATGCCGTCTGTCATCTTACCATATGTCTCGAAAAGCTTCAACAGCCAGATATGTCGGTCCCCACGCATGGCATAGTACCAGGACGGTAGTCCAGATGCTCCTGCTAAGAATGGCCCAGGTACTTTGGATAGTGGGTGGAACAAGGCATTGTAGAAGAAACGATAGATGAACTAGTACGGTCAACAAGCAACCTTTGGCAAAATGGATGGTTGTTGGAAGAATACTTACAAACGTTGAGAAGATTACTCCACAGAGCTTCACCCATCCCAGAGGGGTGAGATCAGCCAGAACCTGGATCATAGTCATGGTAGGAGATTCAGCGATTGCTGAAATGTAACTGTTCACTGATGATTTGATGGCAGCTTTGCGACTACAAGTATTTATAGGAAATGGGCTGTCAGTACCAATTACGGGGTCGGCGATGACGGGCGAATGTGGGTTATAAAAAAAAGCTTATTACCATAGGAGTGTCAAATAAAGTACCCATGGTTTATTTAGGGCCAAGGATCGCTACCTGATCAAGGACTACGCCTGAGGTTTAGGTCTGAGCCTTGGTGTGAGCGGGAGTTGGGGCTGGGTCCTCGCAGACCGAAAATGCCATGTTGACATCTCCACGATAGCCCTAAATACCTTGGTGAATCGTCTCTAAGGAGAAGGCATAGACGGGATAGTGGAGTAGCAAAAGTTATCATGACCGCTTATTGAGACACCAAGAGAAGAGCCTGCTACGGGTTCTACGAAGTAGGGTAAAAAAAGTCCGACTTTGAGAAGCTACAAGTATCGCTCAACCTAATCTTCTACAGTACGCATAAAGAGGGGTTTTAGCCACTCAGAGCCTACGGAGTGCGAACAACCCTTGTTTCGCACCCAGTGCTAGGTATCCACTACAGTACACGTGAAAGGGACTTCTGTTCAGAGCCCATGGAGTACGACCAACCTTATTTCGCACCTAGTGCTATCCGCTATGTATAAGAAGAACTTATAGCCACTAAGAGCCTACGGAGTACGGACAGCCCTTGATTCACGCCTATTGCTTTCCACTACTCTCTCCTAAGCACTCCCCTTGGATGCGACTTACCACGGTGGTGTCCGCTGCCAACCTTTCGCTGCATTGCTCAAAACTTTTCGACCTGGCGAGGTGTTCAAATCAAGAAATCGTGGGGTAGGAAGAACCATGCAAGCTTTGCAGAATCAAATATAAGTTAAATTGATACCTCTGCTGTACCCAGCTGCTCCGTACAATCCTCTGGATTTGTATTGTTTCGGGCCGCTATGATACACAGAATGCGTTGGCTGATACGTAGCTTACAAAAAGAAAGCTACCCTTCCCTTTTTTCTTGGCGTCAAGCACTGGCGCAGCGGGCGGTCGAGGCTTGGTTAGTTCGGAAAATAACAGAACAGAACTCCGTAATAGTCAGTGCAGTATTCTCCGGACCGTCGATCGACATAATTCATCTTATTTACTCAGCGACCTCATTGTGAAGCGCAATGTACTCAGTAACAGTACAAAAAATCTGAGATTGTCTTGTTTTCTAAATATCGAATGGATCTTCCCCGGGGCTGCCTTTCGTATCTGCAACATGACGCCACTTGATACTTATGTGGAAAATATAGTTTCAAAACCGAGCTAATACAGTAGTGAAAGTCTATTTCGACCTAGAAGGGGGACTGGTCACATGGCCGGATGAACCGCAAAAGGATGAATGGGAATTCCCCGTCGAGTTAATCTTATGATAATCTTCTATGCATAATAAGTAACTCGATTTCGTCCACATTCCAACTTTCTATTGTTGCGAAATTGGACAGACAGCAAAGGTGTAATTAGCCCTACTTGATTGCACTCGAACTTCCTAGGTATTTCCTGTGGTCGATGTTCGGTCCTATATTCTTTTTTTTTTCTGACCTAGACTTTATTTTTTGGGAACAAATCCAAACAGCCGGGCTTGTTGAGTCGGTTTGTGTGCTTTATTGAAACGTAATATACAAAACACCGTGACACGACAGTAAATACTACTTTTACTTCCGCAATTTCGTATGTTCAGTTCACTTGATCTGAAATCCTAACTTAGACCTTGTACCCCTTCCAATGAGTTTAAAAGGAGTTCAATCTAGAAGTGAAGGATGTTGTTTCAATACTCCCTCCTATTTACCACATGTGTGGCCAATGAGCTCCCCCAACCCGAATGTATACTCCAAAGTCGGTCGCAAAATCATCTGCGCCTTCAAGTGTAACAAATTCAGATACTGTGACTACTTCAGCTTAAGAGAACCAAATACTCATCCAAGTCATATCCACATATAGCCTCTAAATGAGACGAATATTATCCTAACGTTCGAGATAGGAATTGGAAGACATGGAATCATGTTTGAATAGTCGAGGATTCCTTCAGAACACGTTCAACTATCAAAGGTAGAGAACTTGTCCAGGATGTATAAGGGATATTGCATTGTAAGATACACATGCACATGTATCACCTTTGGTGAGAGGACAGCGCTAGGCAACAATGAAGACTGCTAGTGTAACCAGCTTCCGTACTTTCCACGCTCAGCCGTGGAAATTGATCCCTAAAAGATAATGTATGCACATCAAAGTCTTTCATTTGATATCGCACTGTGTTGGAACTCATAAAGCCAGTCCATCTGTGCAGCCGAATCTGATAGCCCTCTCTCTTGCGTGAGAAATGCATAACGAGGAGCAGCACAGCACACTGGAGCGGGCATACTCGGAGTCTTCTCAACCAGATTTGGAATTCAATCAACCAGCGCTGGAAGTCAACACAAAAGTACATAACTTCGCTTCAGAAACCCAACTACCATTCCAAAATACCCACGAACTCCCCTGCCGTCCTTCAAGCCCCGACAAACTGAGAGCGAGGACAGTATACGGATCCAAGAAGAGAAGGTTTGCTATCATAGCGGCTATCCTGGCTTTTGTACTTGCTGGTGGAGTTGGTGGAGTTCTCGGGGGAACGATTGGAAGAAGAAAACGTCCAAAGCCGGCAGAAAAAGAGCCAGAGCAAAATCAAACAGTGTCCGCACTGTTGGAGAACTCGAAATTGGCGTCAGTCAACTGGACTGACAGTAATAATTTTATACACCATGGTCTACTGTACCAGAATAGAACAAACGAGATTTTATGCTCTGTCTGGGACTCGCAGAATACGACATGGACCACATCTCCAGTTTCTGTGGACGCCAAACGAGTCGAATCTGGAACCTCAATCGCTGCAGTCGCCGGCTATGTCAATGACCTTCCTGCTCCGGACTCTACTGCAAGTGCCAAAGTTTTCCAAATCTCGATCTACTTCTACTCAACCGAAAACAACATAATGGAATTTTACACAAGAGACATGCAGGCTCGCACTTGGGAACTAGGGCTGTTGACAAACAGACAAATCAATGGCTACCCCAAATCTCAGCTAGCTGCGACTCGACACCAATGTGGCTCTGTTTGGTGCAATAATGGTACTGTTCTTATGTTTCAAGATGCGAAACAGAAGCTCAAAGCCATCAGTTACAATCGAACTGTAATAGACTCTCCACAGGGCCCATCGGTGAAAGGCTGGGATGTTCAAGCGAGCGAATTGGATACTCCAGTGGAATCCAAGACCCCCTTGGCGTTGATACCTCTTGCGAACCCAACTACTTCAAAAGTAGCAAGTTTGCTGAAGGCTTATGGAGTAAGCAATAAAATTACACAAGAGTTTGCGTCGACTCGGGGGAGCTGGGTTCCTGGTATGTGAAGAAGCATAATTACATGTTTGAAGTTTTGCTAAGGGCATGTCAATTTAGCTACAACCTTCGAGGACGATCGTCAAGAAACCTCACAACTCTCCGCAATTCCTCTCAACACTGCTGGCGGTGGTTTATCAGACATTTATCTAACTAAACTATACCCGAATGGAAAGATAGCTAGCATATGGTGCAATGATCAACGATGGAGTGGACTTGCTGCCCCGACACTAAATAAAGCTCCTAATGGCACAAACTTTACTGCGATTTCTATGAGCTACGATCGACGGGCCTATGGCATTTCATCTGGCAAGATACAGGAGTATGATATCGATGTCAAAAATCCGATGAGTTGGACATATTTGGGCACTATTAATGCCTGAGAGAAGGGATCCATATTATTCCTGCAGTTGCAATCTTTTGTAATATATGATTATATATAGCTTCACTGCATCCCCCTTTTTTCATATTTTTCATTCTCATCAAATTATTCCAAGTGTGGAAAATGAAGTCGCCTACTGCACACTTGCTTATTGTCGACAATATCACCCACTCGTTTCCCTTTGACCAGCGATACAATAAAGTGTGTAATCTTCATTCTCGCTATATATAAAGAACTATACACGCTAGTCTAAAAGTGAATAAGATACACTATACTGTTTCCTCTGATAATTTAAGACCTCCAAAAGATAGTTCTAGTCTATATTAGAATTTATTCTTAGAGAATAACATTAGACAAGAAAATAAGAATAAAATTTCTTGGAATTTCACAATTGATCTGTCTTTCAACTTCTCTATATCCATGTGTCATTAAATTATATTGGGTAGGTGTGTTTGTGACACCACGTAACTATAGAGAAAGGGCAGTCTGAACATTACAGACCAGCAGATTCTGTTTCTATCTAGCATAGAAAGTTTAGACTGGAAAATTAGAGCCAGAACAAAGACAAGGTTACCTTCTCATAAATACTGGTTGGGCGTAGATATACCTGGTGTCCATTCACTCACGTCTCACGTCAGGTGACCTACTTTTTGTGGCGATTAATTGTTCTACCAACCACCTGATTGCGCATGCCTATTTCCTATCAACGTGGACACCATCTATCAATCTACAAATCAGATCTCAATCCACCCGCCAACATGAGCGAGTCATTGCCCTTGGAGATACTCATCCTCATCATACGGAAACTTCCCCCTCAACCTCCTCACATCCCAATTGCTCTACCTGCCACCGACGTTCTCACCAAGACCTTTATTGCCTTGAGCCTTACGAATACCGCTTTTCACGCAATAGCGATCGACTACCTCTACAAGTATTGCCTGTTCATCGACAAACCATGGCGTCTCACGGCTCTTCTGCGTTCACTTGGCACACTTCAAAATTCAAAGGGCGGCATCTCCCGCCAAGGGATGTCCCCAGCCATTATTACGTCTCTGGTCCTCAAACCATATCACAATGGGACGATTGCAGATCGCAGGATAGCGCAAGAAATCAATGCACTTTTCACCATTCTCGCTCCAAATCTCAAGCGGCTTGTCATAGATATGGAGCTGAGAAGCCTTTATCCTGAAGACGATGATGAGGGAATACGACCCATTTTACGGATGGCCTTTGAGAAACTCACGGCTATAGAGGTATTCTGCAGTACTCGGGACGAATTGTTTCTCAATCTTCATTGGCCACTCCATCCAGAACCACCCGTATGGAGCTATTGGCCAAAATTGACAACTCTGGCTCTCTATAATGTCGATATGGAGAATTTCATGCCCTACGTCAAAGTCATGGATAGTATCAAGACCTTGGTACTCACAAACGCCGACTCTATTGATGACTTGCACGAGCGGTGGAATGGTGAGTTTCATGGCTACACGGGTTATGAAATTTGCCCTACCAGGCCATCTACTGTTGCAGCAATGAGGGAACTTTTGAAGGACGAGCAACATCTGGAAATAATCATTGTCAACAATCATGATTATCAAGATTTTCTAGATGAGGCGCTCGGCACATCAAGATATCTGACAACTTCATTTGTAGATGTACCAATGCCTCCAAATGTACACTATCCTGAGGCTCTCCAGGAATGGACCAAAAATTTGATCATCAGTGGAATTCCATTGGAGATGGTGGAGAGAGTAAATGTACAAGATTTACGCTGGATACATTGGAACGACTGAGGATGATCATCTCTCTGCAGCTGTATATGCACGGCAGCATCAATCTAGTATCAAACATCGAAGAACAGCTTCATCGAAATTGGCACAATATATTCAAGTTCTCAAGCCTTGGTGTGAAGCGGTGAAGTATTGGCGATCGCCGAAATAGGAAGTGTAAAAAAAGAGGGGTTTGAGAACCGGGAAATATTTCCGTTTAGTGGGTCTATAAGATCAACAGATATGTTTGCTCCATCCGGAGCATGGAAAGTCTTTGAAGATCTGGCCACCGCCTGGCTTGTGAGAAGAACATGCCTTAGTTTCAAAGAGCTTTATCAATACTCTAAGGCAAACAAACAGGGTCATAATACTTGTTTCCCCTTTCTCACATCCTTTTCATCGTTTTTTTCATCCTGTGTCCAAACTCAGGTTCTGGTCATTTCCCTAAACGGGACTCAGCCTCAATTCGACGGATAGAACCACCTGCTTGGCTCCTCCCGTATCCACCGTATCCACGTGGCCTGGGGAGAATTCCCGGACCAGGATAAGCTGTGAAGTTTCAAGTATCTGAGCCATGTACGGAGTATTCAAAATCCAGGGACCAAGCTGGGGGTTCCGTCATATGAAAGTCAAGATAACCGTCTTTTCAAAATAGGAACGCGCAAGCTACCGACTTCTTCTTTGACAATTATTGTAATTGTTATTTCTCGCCCTTTCGTCTACCCTTTGTTGCAACAAAATATACAACGAAATGCTACAATCTCCTTCCACAACTACGGCAGATAAAATTGCAAAGGATATCGTCAACGATGGCCCACAAAGGAGTGATGACGCTGTGCCATTCTTCATTCCGCCAACATATACGATGAAAGACATCTTCGATGCGATACCAGCACATTGCTTTGAAAGAAATACTTTCCTCTCCCTCTCATATATCGTCCGAGATTTCGTGTACATATTTATTGCTGCCGGATTGGCGACACAGATATCTCGTGCACCAACACATGAACTTCGAGTTGCGGGATGGATATTGTATTCTTTCACACAGGGGCTTCTCTTTACGGGTGTTTGGGAACTGGCACATGAATCTGGACATGGAGCTCTTTCTCCGTCGAAAAGATTTAACAATATAGCTGGACTTATTATGCATTCTTTCCTCCTTGTGCCTTACCACTCGTGGAGATTTACTCACTCGCAGCATCATAAAGCAACCAACAACATCGAACGAGATATTGCATTCGTGCCGGATACAAGAGAAGTTTGGATGGAGAAGCGGGAAGGACGGACACCTGTCGCAATCTTCACGTACTGGGATTTGATAGAAGATATGCCGATTGTCAATCTTCCGATTCTTATAGTCCATCAATTGATTGCATGGCCGGTTTACCTTCTCATCAATAACTTTGCTTTACCAAGAATGGCAGCAGTGGACTGGTGGAAAAGAAGTCACTTCTACACTGGTGGGGATGGACCAAATTTCAAGCCTGCGAATCGAGATGATGTGGTTTTGAGTGACAAGGGGATAGCAATTATGGTACTTGCGCTATGGGCGAGCGTCACGTACTTTGGAGGTCTGAATACATTCTTGTTCTATGGGGCACCATGGTTATGGACGAACCATTGGATTCGTAAGTCAATACCCCTCCTACTCGTCGTTGCCTTATGAAAAACGCAAAAAACAAAATCAAAACAGGGCTGCCAAATCCTAGAAAGTTCCCATGGAGAAAAAAGCAATAAAGAAACCAATAGATAGACTCTCTCTCTACTTGTCTCATTGCTCTGCCACTCTCCAGAACCAAGAAAAGAAAGAAAAATCTCCTACCACGTTCTACCTCCTAATGTCTGTCCTTCTGGCTTGTCAACAAGCCCAAAATATTAACCCAACCAAAACAACAGTAACAATAACCTTCCTCCAACACACCGACCCCTCCATTCCGTACTACCCATCCACAACATGGACCTTCCTCCGCGGAGCAGCTTCAACCGTCGACCGCGATTTTGGATGGATAGGCCGCCATTTTCTACACGGCGCAATTGACTGTCATGTCCTGCATCACCACGCATCAAGAATCCCCTTCTATCACGCATTCGAAGCTTCGGAGGCGATTAAGAAGGTCATGGGGAGCCATTATAAAGCGAATGATACGAATTATATGGGAGCTTTTTGGAAGAATTATAATGGATGTCGGTATGTGGAGGAGAGGGATGTGGGAAGTGAGATTTACTTTTTTGCTGATGGAAAGGGGGAAGCTGTCATATAACCATTCTCTTTTCTAATTACGCGTCTTGGTGTTACTAGTTTCTGGCATGGGGATCTTTAAGTGGATGTTTTTAATTATTTTTTGTTGTGTTGCATAGCGATGGCGAGCATGTAGACTTATAGAATAATTAGATTCTTGGATTGAAGTAGAATGTGATTTTATATCGCTACTTCCTTACTTCACTTTGGCGGTAGAAAGGGCATAGCAAGTACTCTTCTCCTCTAGAACAATATCTGTTTCATCCACTTGGAATTTTGATCCCTGTTCCAACTCCAGTACATAGAAAAGAATCGATACAAGGATATAGTTGCTGGCAGATATACTGGGAATATTCTTATTGCGGGGATCCTTATGTTGAGTTTATCGGTAGTGCTTTTACTCACAGTTTAGCAATTAATGTACCAAGCCACTCATTTATTGAATCAAGCTTTTTGAATTCCAGCAACAGGGAAACATTATTCATTTCTACTTTATCCTCCACTCATGAAGAGAATCACTGTAGCCGCTAAAATCAACAGTTCGGCCTGCAAAATTGTACAATTATCAGCAACCCACATCCATGAGCCAAATCCCAAGACAGCAGACAGATATGTCGATTCTCGGGTACTTAGTCTGCCCATTCAGATCAAAATGTCCCTGAAATGAGCTTTTCAGTCTTTCCAACTTCTAGTGGATGTCAAGGTGAAGTGGGAGAGGAGGAAGATGCGGTGCATTTCGACAAGGAACGCAAAGGGTATTGTGATTTGAGGGACTCGTGGGGTATATTATCAGGCCCACAAGGTTATACTTGTTAAGGACGAGTTGTATGAGATACCAATTTTGACATGGAAGATACTCATTTACTAGTGCAGACGACGAGTTCGTTGCTTTCAGTGCACATAAATTTCCCAACGCGAAATCTTAGCTAGTCTTATCCTACAACACTAGTGGTACGATTCAGTTCAGATATTGACTAGGAAAAGGAGGATGAATGACTCTTCTTCCAACAAAATCTATCAGAATCTTCAACAGGGTACAGGATCCCATAGGTACCTCGAAATTCTCGGTCATAATGCGATTGGCCACACATATCATAACCATCAACTGCAACCACCCCCAACCAACTCCCTGCCTTACCCAAAATAAATCAGGAAATTATTGCCTCTTAATCCTCCGGTCTGATGAACTATTCATCTCTCTCGAAATCCTTTTGAACATCTGCCTTCCCTCCCTTACTTCCACATAAATCATCAACAATAGCACGACACCACATGTAACGAGACAGCATGTGAGTAGCCAAAGGACCGCGACGATATATGTAATATTACGTCCTAACGCTAAAGCATCTTTCGATATATCGTTGAGGAGCTCGTCTGGGAATGGCCAACCCATAGCTTTGCTGGAAAATCGAGTGAGTCAGCGGGTTTGTGCCGATTGCGGGGTATTTTTCGAAACTTCTCATAGGTCAGCAGGATTTCTGATGTTCGAACCTTGGGAGGATACTTGCTTGCTATTTATACTGCTAGATTAGATACTCAACAGTCTTCTTTAGGGCCCTAGAATGTGCGCTTCTAATCTTTTTTGGGTGATATAATTTTCGTCTGCACATCTTGGCTCTATTGTTGAGTTGACAGGGATGAATACATCCCTGTTTCCTGTCGTGTAACGTAGCTTCGTTGTCAACACGATTAAGGGAACTAAAAAAACGACAACTTGATAATGAGTTTAAATGAAAGCATGTGGATGCTTTAACTTTTTCTAATCCTTGCATAGTTACCAACAAGAGTTCCTGGACTGAAAAATGAAGAGGAGAATATTCGCGTCCTAAAGAACGATAAAAGGTATTTTCCAGTCACATCTCGTGACAATTCACAGATTCGTCTTTTGAGCCTAGAAACCGGATTTCGAAGTTTTTTTTGAAAGAAATGAGGCGCATTTGAAGAGGGCATAATAGATCAGCAATATATCCATCTTTCTGCTTGCTTCTAAAAAGAACTTTACAGAATTCCAATCGAAAATCACGACGTGGAAATATCCAGTCATGATTTATGTCCGACAATTCATCAAGTAAAACAGCAAGCCATTTTACTATTCCATCAGTTCCAAGCCACCTCAGGTTCAGGTCGATAGTCATCCCAATCCTCACAGTCACCCTCCTGAAGCTCCCCCCTCTCTATCTTTCCTAGTAAATTGACCAACGCACCAACGACTCTTTCCGCTTCCCATTTGATCATATAAAAAGCATGTTCGGCAGATATAGGTTACATGGAATAGTCCTCGATCTTCGAAGTCGCTTTGCTAAGATGTCTTCGAAAGCGACGAATTTCAGATAGCGCAAAGGGCTCAAATTCGGTAGACTTGATGGCTTCATCCAAAAGTACTTTGAGTTTGTTGAAGAGGTTCTTTTGTATGACGTCGTAGGCACCGTAGAATCGAGTTGCGATATAAGTATCAGATTCGTTTAGGGCTGCCGCAGATATTCCTTGGCCCGTAAAGAAAGAAAGCTGTTGTATATTCATTTTTTTTTGTGGCTGCGTCTGGATGCGTTGCTGGAATTTGTGGTAATTTAGAAAATGAAATGGAAAGTGAGGTCAGCTCAAATAAAGAGGTAAATCCTGAAGTTGCTAATGGTTAAGCTGTCTTTGACTAGGACAAAGACTGAATTGACAGCTCCATTCTAGGCAACAAAGAAACTTTAGTTCGTTGGGTAGCATCCTGAATCACACAATAAAAGAAATGATAATCAGCGGCCGCCTGTCTGAGATGGTTTTGGTGATTAGTGTTAGATCCATCATTCATCCTCTTGAATATTAATTTCATTTGTCCAGTGCCCACACCAAGGTCTGACCTTGACCACCAATGGGAGCAGACACCTTAAACCTGAGACTGCTGTTCTTTGAAGGCTCTCAGACTAAGTCATTGTGGTAGAATATCCATAATGCTTCAGAAAAGGGACAAAGTGTTTGTTAACCTGGTTGGATCTCAATCGCCATAGGCGGCATTCTTCAAAACTCCAGAGACTTAGGTAGGCGAAGATGATTCCGGTACCAATGTATAAAAATATGACTACTGTTTCACTAGGCTAGTCAGGTTACTATGAAAGCTGATGTTGCGTCTGTGCCCTCGTCTCAAGAAGTGAAACAATTACCATGCTTAAGTGACGCCTCGAGTGGAAAAGTTGGAGAATATTCATTTCTTCCTTTCAAAGTTCTCCTTCAACTAACGACAATCTTACTAGATCGAGACTGAAGTTGATCCATTAATGGTTTGACTCGGCCTAGGAGGAGTCCATGAATACTTGGAATAGCATGTTTGGATTATGCAATAGAAGTTTCCCTGAAAGCAAGTCTGTAATAAAAGAAAAAAGAATAAAAGTTTCTGGCCTTCCGTCCATCTCTCAAAGTGGGAGAGCGCTATTATTCGAAGCGCAAGAAACAGATACTGCTCATTTCAATGGCTGGTGAATACTTGGGAAGCTCTGTGGTTCTGCTCCTATGATGATCTCTTAGCCCCAGTTGAACAGTGACTAGGTACTCCTGATCAAGCATTCTTGTATTCCTGGTACTTGAAAGGGAGGGTTTCCACCTATTTGTAACTTTGTTTTTTTTTTGAATCCGTAGCCCTAAGCTGGCATAACGCTTGCACTTACGGTGTGAAGCGTTCGGTATGAGACGCATTAAGCCCATTACCTCAAGAATATTCTTTATAGAGATAGTGAAAAAGAGGTACCGATGGATCTTTTCTAATGAGAACTATGAAGTTTAGGGATGACTGTAGTGAAAGTTTTCTTTTTAAGTTGTTGTAAATGGGGCCTTTATGCTTGCACAGAGCAATACAGCGGCCAGACCAGCTAGCGAGATAGTTATAAATGTATGTTTAACCTCACTTTAACCTGTTTACTTCAAGTCTAACAAAGATAGTAATTGATATTTTATTCTTGTCACACAAGATTAAGTAAAATAAAACACAAGGCGTTGATATCTGTTAAAGTGAAGATACCTAAAAGGTTCTAATTATATACAGCATGGAAAGAACCAGCGTACTAGAATAGCTGTTCCTAGCTGTTCCTAGCTGTACGGAAACCACCCAGGTAACTTAGAATTATACCCTAAATCCCATGCTACTGATTAAAACAAACGCGCTTATATACTTTTCACTGATTCCGAAACTATGTATACTTTAAAACCCCACAAAAGGTGAGTGGGTACGAAATACGAAGCTAAATCTTCTCACAATACTCTATTTCAACAATCACCTCACGACTGAGTCCTATAAACACAGCTTCCAAGGTACCAGGAAACTCATCTCAGAGACCCAAGTTGTAGCCAAGGGTTTATTGATATCGGATGGAATCAAAGCCATAAGTGCCATATAAAACACCTACACGCGGCCGAATCTTCCTCAAACAAACTTACCTTGGCTTCTATTTTAATTGTATTTCAAGTTCTGATGTAAATTTACCTTGAGAGGCGCTTAAAAAGAAGTAGCAAGGACGCTCCGAGGAAATTATGGTGCGGCCAAGGCTAAAAGTCCCCCTAGCACTACCCCAGCGACATCGTGGGCCCCTATGAGTCGAGCTTTGACGGTAGTTCTGCTTCGAGAATGCCATTTTGACCTTAAACTTGGGCGAGATGGAAATGGTCTGTTTTCCAAGACTCTTGGGCTTCAATGTCTAGTGGGGTGACGTCTTGGAAGGCTCTTGGAAGATGCTTGGGTGCTTGGAAGGAATACCATATATATCCGAAGGACTGTGGAACAAAAAGTGGCTCTTGTGTTCCACTCGTCAGAATCTTGAGCGATATAAGGGCCACAAAAGTCAGGCCATACAGGCTGTAGCTACAGGGCGTAAAACCTAAAACCCTATGTGGCTGTAGCGCATTTGACAGTATATAATTAGCGTACTCCTTACAATTAATAATAATACTAGTTTCTTGGACTTGAAAAATAATTGGGATCTAGAAATATAAGAGTGTTACGAATATAAATGATATTAAGAAAAGTGTCTTAGTCGATAAGTTAAATATTGTTTTGTTTACCGAGTATATCTTTCGTGGTAGGAGTACTCGGTTTCGTTTTGGTATTTTTCTAATCACACTCTCAGACTACCAGTAGGTGGATAGTAAAGGGGGTGGACAGTAAAAGCTGGACACTGTTACGTAGATTATTTGTGAGAAAAGTCTATATCGCCCAGATCCGAGTCTCTTGTTTTCTGGTTTAACTGAACATCGGGGCCGAGCCGTAATATAGTTAAAAACAGTGTCTAGCTTTAATTGTTCACCCCCTTTACTACTAGGGTATAATAAGGTACGTGCTTTATTTAACCTTATTAATTTCTCTCTCTTTGACTTATTTTATGCCTTTTAATTAGACAGGTCACAATTAAAATTTAAATCCTTATTTTGCTAAGCGAGAAATCTTAGTAGCATCTGCTAAATAGACATAGATTATTGAGGGGGTCTCGCTACAGGGCTGAATATACACTTTTTTAAATGACGCAAAACTTCGGAGCTTCTAGATTTACATACCAGAGTCTAAAATACACTTTTCTTAGTAGCCCTACTTCCATGTACTCACATCAATACCCTATCCACTCTTGTAGGTCTGAGAGTGCAATCAGAATAATACCAAAACGAAACCGAGCACAATATTGTTTTGTCTGTGTCTTTGTGTAGTAGGAATATTATACCTTAATCTTGTCTGATTAGAGTTCGCAAGGCTCTTGCGTCTATACACGGGCTATTCCATGGACAGCCAAATATGACCTACACAACATGCCATTTGCATGAATTCCGAGGCTCAAGACTGTGGGAAATCAGGCCCTAATATTAGCTGTAGCATTAAGGCCAAGAAAGGCAGAACCCCCCCATATTCTCGGTAGCTAGGTAGGAATCTGTTTGGCTCACCTAAATGAACAACCCCGAATCGATGTAATGTTTGTATGGGCTGTTTCATAACAAGTGGACGTTATTGCACCGTCCACTTGTTTACAAGGTCGTACTGGTTTATCTGAGAATTCAAATACTCGTATTTACAGTCAAAAAAAGCCAAGCTAATGTATGATCTAAGGAGGGTGATGGAACATTTAAATCTGCCGCCTATCACGCAGATCATATGTAAGAAAAGCCTATAACATCTAGATCTGAGTGTCTGATTCGCTAGGTTCGCTAAAGGATCGTGCCTAAGACATATTATTGGCTTGCCGGGGTGCTACTCCGAGCGGTCCTCCCTCGCGGCGGACAAAATAAGCGAAAGTTTATTTGTCTGTGCGCCATCATTGCTCATTCATTGACATCATACTTATTTTCATAGGCTTTCAATGATTGGGTCATGAAAATAGGTTGAAACGCACGGACCAGACTCCGACTTAATTTTTCCACCGTAAGCCTTCTCTTTTTACTTGAAAACGTGGCAGTGGCTCGTGCACTCTATAGATATAGGGAAAATTTACCCCGCATACCTCAATATGGGATTATAAATGTTAAATTTATTGTATTGAGGGGTTAGGTTCGGGCCAAGCACGTTATCTGAATGAAACAGGGAGAAACCTCTCAACGGGAGTTCGGTTCTTAACGTCCATCGTGATACTCCGCAATCACACCACAACACCACTTTTCGAGGGTGAAATCGAGATTTGCGAATTCGGACTTCAGGCGTGCGACTATGGGGAATAACAAGGTAACACCGGCAGCAGCTTGTAACCAACAAGAAAAGGAATCAACTTGTTTGACTTTGATGTAAGTTTTGATTGAGAGTCGAGGTCGTAAAGCTCGCAACCAACTCCCGGGCACTTTAATAAGCTTAATGCGAGATAGACTCAAAAGCAACTCACCAAAACGGCCAACCAATCCCGTGAATACCTTTAGCCGGTACAGTAACAAATGAATTTTCCGTTGGACGTTTTCAATTTCTCACCAACCAGCTCGTACATCTCACCCGCATTGGTTCGGACGTCTACCGGCCACGGCTTGATTCCTTTCAAGAAATGTCTCGTGTCCCTGTTCCCGTTGCGATGTGGTCAATGATTCTATCCCCTCCGATCAGCACCAAACATCTCCTAATACTCCAGTACGGAGTGCCTATGGGGAATCGCCGATCATGGCCTCCTCGAGGGGCCGAACGGCAATACAGCGCCCAAGCGGAAGGAATTCGATACGTTTTGACATATATAATCAGCACCATAAGGCTCAATGAAGCTGTAAAGGTGGGGTATTGTACCTTCCGTACCTGCATCAGGGGAGATCGCTTTGATTGACCGGCGACCAATGCAGCGTTACTACTTGTCGAGCTAGCCATAAATATGGGGTAACCACATTCCCGGTTCTGCTTTGCCTCTGGCTCCACCAATGGTAACCAATAGTGGGGAAGGGGAAAGTTTGGGCTACATCTTGGTCGCAACCACTACAAAAAAAAACTCCGCTACTTGGTACTTGTACGCCAACCCCAAGCTGGATCTCGGGCATGACCGCAGCCTTTGGATTCCAAACGGCTCGTTTTTACGGACTGTGCTGTGCAGTGCAGTACTGTACGTTATGGGCAGCATCGGCAATGTTTTGACAACTTCATACTTGGGTAAAACCGCGTGGCTCAAGAACCGACAAGTCTGGATGCGGCTCACGAGGAACAGACATCTATATCATTGGAATGTTGGCAGACCAAAACGTCAATCAACAGGGCCTCTGACCAAATGACGGGTCGTGATGTTTCTTACGGTACAGTACCGTACAGTGCTGACGCTGGATGGATGTTGGGTCCCACAGGATGGGGCAAGTGCATGAAAGCCATATGGCGACTGACCAATGGCTTTGCAAGTCTCTCATGTTGAACTCCCCCTCCGTTGATAATGTTGGTCTGGTAGAAAACCAAATACTGGTAAGGTTTATTATTTCTGCTCCAAAGTGGACTATTCCATGGTCTCTACGGACTTATGATCGTCCCTCGTGTCCGCTTCTCAGTCTCAACTAGGGTAGGGGTCAACCGCACTGTGCTCCTACACTAGAACTAGTTTGCGTACCAGGTATGGCCCTACGGGTCCCACAAGCCGCCACGGAGTCCAAGGGGTTGCCCCTGCGGATCGTCAAAGTAAAATTATATATGTGGTCTGGCCTTGCTCTCTATTATATACGTGCCCATAAAGGCATTGTCGTCTTTGACACCTATTCCTCCTGCTGCTCTGCGCAGAAGTCACTCAATCAACGTCCAGCTTATAGCTGTTGACAAAATCAAACTTCCTCATCTTCGCTTGCCACGCCGACATACTGGCAGCCGTGATGTTGAATCAACGCCATGTCGAGCCTTATTCGGGTAACTTGGACCCGTTACCACTCGATGTCCGCAATGGGATGATAGCAATGGGGGTCATAGGAGCGATTTCGACAGTATCGACATTCGTGCTCCTGGTCTTCATCACATATAGAATGGTTTTCTGGAAAAAGTACTATTTACGCCCAATTGCCACAAATCAGATATTTGTCTTGATTTACAATCTCCTGCTGGCCGACCTCCAACAAGCTGTGAGCTTTCTAATCGCCTTTCACTGGATTGCTCAGAACAAACTCGTTGGACCCTCACCTATCTGTTTTGCTCAAGGCTGGCTTATTCAAATTGGCGATCTCAGTTCGGGATTATGGGTTTTGGCGATCGCTATCCACACTTTTATCAATTTGGTGCTTCAGAAGACGATCCCTTTTACCATGTTTGTCGTGGCTGTGATTTTAGTTTGGTTGTTTTGTGTTATTTTGACTATAGTTGGTCCCATCACTCATCATAAAAACTTTTTCGTACCTGCTGGAGCTTGGGTAAGCTACTTGCCTAATGGTTATAATGGCTTCTTGCTGATATTTGTAGTGTTGGATTGGAGAAAACCACGAGAGAGATCGACTTTCACTTCATTATCTCTGGATATTTGTATCTCAACTTGGTTCCCTCGTCATTTACATATCAATATTTTTCTCACTCCGAACGAGGCTTGCACAAACTTCTAGGTCCCAACCACGTGTCTCAGAAAACTCGTCAGGACTTCAAAGCCAGAGCTTCCACAAGTCCAACGCAACAGGCACAACTACAATTGTCACCGGTCAATCCCAATCGGAACACTTCGCAGTATCAAAGCAAAGAATATTGCGAACGGCTCGTTACATGGTAGTTTACCCTTTCGCTTATGTTGTTCTGACTTTGCCACTCGCGGCTGGACGAGTTGCTTCTATGACTGGACGAAGGCCTTCAATTGTGTATCTTTGCGTGGCAGGAACGATGATGGCATCGAGCGGGATTGTCGATGTTGTTCTATACATATACACACGAAAGGCTTTGGTACGAAGTAATGTTGGAATGAAGAATCCAACAATATCAACTAGAAACACACCATTGTCGCCATATCCTCGAGGGAACGCCCTTTCGAATAATGAAACATGGAACGACGAGTGGAACTCAGCAGAAGAAGGCAGAAATTCACAACCCAATTCAACGGACACGAAGTCTACAACGCATAGGGAGAACATGGGAGAAGGTCAGATCGTGGTATCACGGAGCGTTACCAGAGTTGAGGATGATTACAATTCCAAGCCTGGAAAGGCGGAATCATTAAGGAGTTTGGTTGATAGAGACGACGATGAAGCCCCGCGGAAGAAAAGCTGGCCAGTATTATGTAATAAATAGCGAAAAAAAGAATTAATACTCAAGTACATATATACTTATAACTAGCAAAAAAAAGAATTAATACTCAAGTACATCATTTGGCAACTCTGCTTTAGCATATGATGTCATTGCAGTCTATGATCGCCAGTACCTGTCAAACTGACTCGATTCCGATTTCTGTACTCTGGTTTGAAACGTTTCACCTCGACATTCCGTCCCGTTCAGTCAACACAACCCCTCCTAGTGTGGCTTGCGCAAAGCTCAACGTCCCTGTGTTGCTTCCGGAGAAGGTTTAAATGGACCAATCTTTGGAAACCCAGCTTGGATATATAAAAGACTATTTCACTTAACATGCAGTCTTTTGATTGGATATCTCCACCAAAATACATGTCTCAGGGGGTTGAGGGTCTTAATAAAACACTCCCGCTCTCCATCTGAAAATACACCTTCTCTAGAAACATCGCAAAGGGGTCTGTATTATCTTAACCCCCATAGGCTCTCATAATATCTAGTTCTAGAAGGTCCAACAGACGTGTGACACTTTGCGAGATCCCCAAAATCATTAATGACATCTCTTCCACGAGGGCAGATCTTAGCCACAGAGCACACGACAGCTCCTGCGGGACATCGCCTGCAGCCACACAGACGTTCAACACGCAAGCAAACCCAGATTCGGGGCTAGCTGGGTCCGGTCAGCTGTCCCCTGCGACGGCACCGGGTTCCTAGCTCCGCTGACTTTCTTGAGGAAGGCTGTGTTGCTGCAAGGAACAAATAGTTGTTCCAGGAAACCCATCTCTGAATGGCACGGCTGGTCTAAAATATTTTGGGTTTGGAAACTATTGATATTGGGCTTTCGGAATTACGTTGGGCTAACGGTGTGTTTGTCGGAGCAATATTCAAGTGTGGAAGTTGCGTTCCGACGGTTCGGTTGAAACGAGTAGCACTAGGCTGTTGTGTCGACTAGGCAGCTGCTGATCAAGGCTTTAGAATGACTTAGTAAGACTTTACTGTAGGAAGCCCGATACGACTAGTTGAACATTCCGAGTTTTCGTACTCTTAGTGGATGGATGGAACTTGGAACAGGGGAGTGGTTATATGTACAATTAAGCAAATTCTCAGCGTCCTTCGGGTCAAGTTGACGCAGCAGTAATACAAACATCATTCCAATTCTCACTTTCTCTCTCGTAGAACTTGCAAATATGCCATCGACACCAATAGAAGCATAAATCAATCCGAAAACTCTCCCCACGTGGGTTTTGGGTTCGTCAATGGTAGTAGGTACGGGTAGCTCACTGGATATCGATATGGCCATCACGAGGTCGTGCTTCAGCACACCAACATCGATGAATCGCACCATGGCGTTGGTAGCTAGAATTGGGAAATCATGACTCGTCAATGTTGTCAGTTCTATGGTCAGCCTCGTCAACATCATACAAAACGAGTGTACTCGTAGCTTTCCAGCTACACAGCAATATCATTCAACTTCACTTGGGCAAAAAACGTGCCTCTTGCATGGTAAAAATATCATGAGTTTATTAATAAATCATATTGTACAGCCACTATTTTTGTGATATTTGAGAGCATTCAGTCCAATTCGATTATTTCAGCACCCGACGGGACGAATCCTGAACCTGGAAGTTTTCTTGGCTTGGTAAGCTGGGGGAGTGTCCGTTTCGCATCCGAATAGTTCACCACTATTGATAAGGCCGGTAAATGCATCGAGCCCTGTTGAGGTTGGTTAGAAATTATTGCTAGTGAAGATTGCTCAACTGCAGGGTATTGAGTATCCCAACCGACCTGAGGCGGTTGAAACGGCATTCCAGGCAAATAGTGCTGTAGGGTGCATCTGGAGTACCTAAAGGCGCTGCCGCAACTCCATTCATCCCTCGAGATATAATGTTCTGGGCTTCCAACAGATTGAAACTTGTGATATCCATGTACTTATCGCCAAGCAAAACGTTCAAATATTCTCCGAACCCCCGAAAACTGATTATGGCAAGACTGCTTCGTTCAGCCCATGCGAAATGAGCATTTTGGTAGGAAGAATCGTCCTTCCGCACAATAAGGTTGAAGGAACTTGTCAATCTTCGCTGATTTTCTGTCTTCAGGTCCCCCAATGCCGTGCACTGTCTCGTGATGTGCTCTATCTTGCTTGGAACTAGTGGGAACTGTTGAGTCGATCGCAGTCTTTGCAAGATTGCGAACATGGAATTGTTTGACGTGTCTGATTTTGTGGAGCTTGAGGTTCATAGCTAACGTAATAAAAGACGTATCCACTAAGAACGACTTGAAAGAATCTTTGGAAAGGCGATCCCTCAAGAGGAACCTGACCTTCTTCGAGTCTGCTGCTCAGAATTTGAAGAAAGGGCATATAAGCTGTACTATAATGGTTTTTAGAGATGACCCCCAAGCGCGATGAAAGTTGCTGTAGTACTTGGGAGAGCTGGCAATGCAGCTCAAGCCCATGAAACTGCAGTACCAAGTTGGCAATATCGATATAATTTTGAGAATCTATTGCAGGAGGCGGTGGCGGTGTTGGTGCCTTCCAGCTGTAGGACTTTTTTGGTACATCAACGGGTTTCGGTGGAACGATGAAGACATCCAATCTGAGGTACGGGCTTAGATCCTGGACAACGATCATGAATATCGATCTAGCAAAATTGGTATCTATGGAGCCATCTCCAGTAAGGGTGCTCGAGAAAATAGCATCCAGAAATGACATGAGCATGCATGTATATTGAGCTTTGGATTTGATGATTGGCGGCAATATGCTGTTTTCGGTTAGCCTTTTTCAATGCTCGATGTGGTGGCACCAGGTGGTACTTACTCGTTGAGTATCTCGCCTGATGGAAACAAGCGACACATTTGAGCAAGGGCGACGCCGTCCTCTCTTGTCATGAACGTTGCGCATGTTATCGCCTTTTTTGTTTCGGAGCTAATCCACGTTTGATATGGCTCTTCTGTCTTAAGTGTACGTTCCGTCTCTTCATGGAATCCTTTTCTAAGTGCACTGAGAACACCAAATCGACTGGCAAAGGCCTCGTTCCAGGCAGAATCGCTTCGCAACCTGCGGCCGGAGTTAGCATGACTACTGAAGACTGCGGAAATCCCAAGCCACAAAAACGCTTATCATGATAGCTTACAATGGAAGTAAGTCAAGGCTATCGTGCCGGACGATGATAGAAGAAACTTTCGCCAGCATGTCATCACTTGGGCGTGCGGGCCATATTACTAATACTTCTCGAAGAGTCTCTATGTCGTCCAACTCGGTTATTGCAGTGAATATTCTTTCAACAGTTTCTTGAGGGATAGCGAGGTTCGGCTTTCTTTCGTTTTAGAGGTAAGGAAGCTTGATTCGTATTCTATTCTTTTGTTTGGCGGACAGCCATCGCACATATCTGTAAAACAGCGTTTCGTGGCTCTTCGTCTTCGGGCTTTGATGAAATTCTGCCATACACGTCTCTATCCACTCCATGAACTTAGGCATCGGGGATGAGGGCTTTATCAAATGGCATGGCGGTTCAGGACGTCCACTTCCGGGAAACCACCGTCCTGTAACTGGGTTCTCGACGCATATGGGGCTCAAAAAGAAAATTGCTCGACACATTTTAGGCATCACGATTAAAGCCTGAAGTTCCATTAGATTAACTGAAAAGTGGAGCGAACTGTAAAACTTGCCGAGTTGTGATATAAGTATTCCAGCATATAGCTGTCATACTCAATCTCTTCATGATCGCGATCGTCTGGCTCTTTGCCTGTGAATGGATCTTCATCAAGAAAATGAGGCTCATCTACAGCCAGTTTTTCGGCAACAACTCTTCCTTTGAGATCAATAACCTTTTCAAGAGTTGTCTTTGTTTCTTCAATTTCATCCATCTCTTGGTCCCATGGATTCTCTCCGCCCCCACCCGGGCCTTTTGCAGATGTTTTCATGTCAGCTAAATAGAGTGAAAATCCAGCCTCGTCGCAAATTTGGCGAAGGACAGATACTGCGGCAAGATCTTTCTCTTTTAGAGCATCGAAAGCAAGATTCCTAGGAGCGTAATATTCGCTCAACAGGTAATTGAAATGCGCAAACTCGTGATCACCGGAGTCAATCTCGCATTTCCAAAGAGCGAAAAGCTTTCTTAGTTTAGCAAGAGACTTGTTGGAGCCTGCAGCCAATTCATTGGTACTCAAAGTCTCATGTATGATATTGTACGTGAGAAGTAGTCGATGACCGCTTATGGTTTCTCCTACTTCATGAGCTACATCGGAAAACCTAGCAAAACAGGTGCTAGAGAAGAATAGTTCGGGAGTAGGAAACCAACCAGGCTAAGTAAGACGAATCGAAGGACGAAGCTGTTGAGGTCTCAAAAACCTTCGTCTCTCCAGCATGGCTAAGCCAAAATTCGCCCCCTTCATGTTTTGTGGGGAGAGATACTGCCAAAGTAGCGAACACGCCTGGAGCTTTTTCTGAACTAAAAAGTTGCCGCTTTGTCAGTGGTATTTCTTGGCCGAGAAAGGTCAGAACATTACCCTTCTTGTGGTCCAAATTGTGCCTCGCCATCACAAAGCAGCAGTCTATGTAACTCGGCTCTCACCCCCTTTCTGGCTGCATCAACACCGAGTCCAGCACTGACCTTTTTAACGATATTGCGTAAAAATGGACCAAATGCCGGGTTCGTGATTTCAAACTCGGTCGGTGACAGCTCCCAGGCTTTCCGTTCTGTGTCTGTTCCCTTGCCAGAAGGTCCCTGACGACTTACGGCTATCAAAGCTTCAGCATCACGATCGGATAATGGGAGGCCAATTCCACCACCGTTGTTGAGCCGTATCCCAGGGTTTGCTGGATTGAGTTCCAGGCCAAAGATTGTCCAGTTTCCGGAAACATCAAGAGTGGTGAGGCATTCGAGAATGCTGGCTTTCAGATCATCGTTAGCCATTGAGGAGATTGTACTGTGTTGTACAATCTCATATCGTTCCGTTGGAGTGCAAAATAGTAAGGAGGAAGTTAATGTAATTTTAAGGGGACGCAACGCGGCGATCTGCATTAACGCGTGTGGAGCGCTATCACGTGCTTTATACTCTTTATCTATGTTTAGATTTCGTACTTAACGGTTTAAGATTAACATCATTGTACTCATGATTATATGAAGGTGAAATAGAGAGAATTCAGATTCATATTTCAATAGGAACAAAGTCTTGAAACCACTTGTGACCAGTAAAACCCACCCCCGTCCAATGTTACTTTTGATGGTTGCAAAACGTTCTACACATGATTTGGGGAAGTGAATGCAACCTAAGAACCTATTATACGAGATTTACTAGTACAATTAACTTAATTGTCCGAAACTACTTAGGTTAATAAAGATGTATTGATTTTAATTATCCTAAATTACTTAGAGAACCATTTTAATTGTACGAGACTTTTAGAATAATATCTTTTTCTAATCAAGGTGTGTACAAAGTTTCGCCCAACTGTCTTACAGTTTTTTCTTTTCCTTTTCGTAAAGCTCTTCCACTATCTAAACAGCTAGCCAAACAATATACAACAAAAACCATCTATGCATACACAGAACCTCAGTCCTTCAACTTGATCACCACAGCACCAGATGGAACCAGAAGCGGAGCCTTCCTCGGCTTCGTAATAGGAGGTAAAATCCTCATCTGACTTCCATACCGACTCTCATGAAATTCCGTTTGTCCAATATCTCCCCAAAACGGAATGTTCCTATTTCGCACCACTGGCTGAGTCGGTGGCGGAGGAAAATAACGCGCATCCCAATTCACTCGCGGAAGCCCATCTACAGAAAGGGAAGTAATAGCCAGATATTTATCCCCCAGCATCCTCCGAAGTGGTTCGCCAAAACGTTCGAAAGTGGCCTTTGTGGCTTGGAATCGAACAGTCCAATTCTGATGTTCTTTCTGAAACTCAGATAGGTCCTTGGTTATTACTAGGACGATTCCTGATCCTGATATTTCGTCGAAGGAGAATCCTCCTATGGCTTCGCATTGTTGTTGGATCTGTTGACGTCTTGCTTTCCCGATGGCGAATTTTGCTAGTGTTTCGTGGGGACTGGCTAGGAAAATGTTTAGTCTGTTGCAATCTTGACAATCTGGGGGACAATTAGATAGCGGACGGCTCCAATCGAGTGGAATTTGGGGCGCTCTTCCGACGTAGAAGTAGACGTATGTGATGAGCATGCATTGAAAGAATGTCTGGAAAAAAGAACCCTGTAGTGGTACGTTCAGAGGGACGAGTTCCCTACATAGTCCTCTGAGGAATGGTATATAGATAGTGTTGTATAGTCCAACTGGTGTGATCTGAACTTTGCTAAGAATCCCCCTAGCAGACGAGCGATTCCTTTCCGGTTACCGAATTTTTGACACTGCATCAAGAGCTCGACAACAGGGTGGCAGTTTCGGGCCTTAAGCTCTTGGGTGGTGTTTGAAAAGGTGTCCATGCTGAGGTGGCTGGCAAGTTTTTGCACAATAGCACTGTGAATTTCTGACAAGAATCGGGCTTGTTATTAGATGGGCGAGAAAGGGTGTTGAGGAACTCCACGGTCATTGACGTGTTATGTATATTGGCTTCAACAACATCCACAATACTATGTTGGTTAGAAATGTCTGAGTCTTCAGATTATGTGTGACGAACCTATCAGCAAGTCTCTCTCTTGAAAGATGCCACGGTTGCCCAACTACAGTAGAGAAACAATCGCTCACTAACTCCCCCAAAATAGCCCCATCTCGTGGTGTGCTAATGTTTGTGACATTCATAGCTCTCCAGATCTCATAATCTATCCACGACTTACATCTATCATGAATTTCCAAGTCCAGGGCTCCTTCCTCATTCATACCAGCTTCTATTGCTTTAAGAATTTCGTACTGAGAAACGAAGGTGTTCCACGCTGAAAAGCGACGACTAAGCCTGTAATTGATGTTAGCGAATTTCTTTTCAGATCATGCTTCAAACTACCATTATCATTCAATGCATGGCTTGATGAATCAATCTTTCACAGAGCAATGACGCACAATCTTCCTTTGAATTCTATCTTGGAATGCACTTACTCTGATAAAAAATCCTGCGGCGATGATTTAGAAGAGCCGCCCCAAGTTTTGATAAAAACGCATCTGTCGGCCGTTCCCGCTGCGGAAACAGAAACATCGCATCCGCAAGAAGATCCAGATCCCCTAATCTGATACAAGTCAAGATGACATACTCCAGCGTGGCATCAGAAATAGAATTCTGTTCATGTCCTCTCTGGGGATATCTGGGGTACCTTGAGGCTTGGGATTGTTGATGTTCTTCTTGTTTTTGTTCGTAGATTCGCATTTGAGATATCTACTCTGCAGATATACCGGATATCATTGCGAAGAGAAATACTATCGTCAACATCAAGCTCTGCATAAAGTTTGCCTATCCATTGTACGACTTTTGGCTTGGGGTATTCTGCAGAAGCGTCACATGCGCTCCAAGGGTCGTTGCCTGGGTCTCTGGGTCCAAAGAAGATCAGAGGTCTGAAACTCCTTGGCATGACAATGGCTACCTAGAATGATGCGTTATAAATATAGTTACGCCATCATATGGAGACTTTACATACCGTCTGGTGAAATACGTATCGCAAATATGGTTCATAGTGATCAATGCTCCAGTCAGTATAACCTTGATCTTCGTTATGAGAATCGTCGTGTATTTCATCCGGTTTCTTCCCCTTGAACGGCACGATACCATCACCTTGAATGAAATGTGGATCGTTCAGTTGCATGTTTTCTGCTACCGTTCTACCATCTGAATCCACAACCTTCAACAAAGATGTCAGCATTTTATCCACGTCAACAATCTCATTATCTGTAGAAGCATTGCCCTTGACCGATACTTCTATATTAGCCAGATATACAACAAGCTCAAGCTCAAGCTCATCGCAAAGCTGGAGAAGTCCAGACAGTGCCGTGAGATCACGTCCCTTCAAAGAACTAAAAGAGAGGCTGAATCCATCATATCGACCATCAAGCATATGAGTAAAATACTGAAAAGTTGATGTTTTGTCGCGGAGATCGCATTTCCAAGAGGAAAGCAGCGACTTGAGCTTTGTTACCGATACATTTACACCAGCTCTTAGTTCATCACGACCTAAATTTTGGTGAAAGAGGTTATAAGTAAGACTCAATCGACGACCCTTAATGATAGGGTTTGCCTCATGGACAACATTAGAAAACCTATAAAAGATAAGCGAGACACTTTCAGTGACACACAAACAAACCAAGCGAGATATGTGCTGTCGAATGGTGATGAGCCAGCCGTTTGTAGCGTCCTTCTCTGGCCATGGAAGCTGAATTGGACCTCACCACCTTCATGTTTAGAAGGCAGGCAGATTTCCAAAGTGGCGAAATTTGATGGAGTGGCCTCGGAGCTTTGAATGTTAGTCATATTTGAGCCCACTACTAGACTAATTCGAAATATAACCTACTTCTGAAGCCGTGTCTGCTCTCCTGCATCACGAAGTGTCATTTTATGTAGCTCTACTCTTACCGATCCACCCGCAACATCAACCCCCAAATCAGCAGTGACCTTCTTCACAGCCCCTGTTACAAAGCACCCAAAGTTCGGATTTGTAAGCTCAAACTCTTCAGCTGAAAATTCCCACAAATTACGAGCCATCCACTCCGCAATATCTCCTTCCGCACTTGAAGATTCGTAACTGGCTGACACAAGTACCTTCGCATCACCATCTGAGAGCGGCAATCCAATCCCACCGCCATATTTGAGACAGATCCCTGGACTTGGTGGACTGGCTATTGACTCGCAAAGTGCCCATGGTGTGGTAGCATCGCTGTGCAAGTTCGTGAGGCATTCCAAAATTCCAGGCTTTAGATTGATCTTAGGTACGGATGCGTTAGGTCGTTTGCTCCAATCTTCATGCTCTCTGAAGGCCTGGTCAATTAGGGCTTGGTCTGTGTATTGTGCCATTTTTTGAGTTCTATATACTTTTTTGAAGCCACGATGAAAAGACGCGTCGGAGTGAAACTCGCCCAGGCACGATCACACGTGACTACCCTGGTTTTCCCCCCTTATGAATAGCCAGTAGGAATAAGGTTAGGGTCAACCACGAGAAGTTATAATTCATCGCAAGATTCTTCGTATGAGAAGAACTCTAGCTACTAGGATCCTACCTAGGTATGGACAACTCTTATCTCTACCTAACCACCCACCCTAGCAATTTATAATTTCTATAACGACGATTTACTCGTACAACAATTAGAAGTATAAAGAGACCAACCAATCCATTACTCTAATTTTTACACACTTTAAGTCCCTATTATACCAAAAGTCTTCCATAAAGTAACTAATCTAACTATCTAAATTCCTTAGATAAAGTTAGTTACGAATTAAGCTTAATTTTCCGGGATTTTCTATAATCCGTGCTTTTTTAGTAGCCTAACTACTAAAAAAGAACGCTAGCGTAAAATCTTATAAAATTATTAATTCTATTATATATTTAATTCCTTTAACTTATATATATTAATATATCTAAAGAACCTAGATATACCCAACGTAGTAAGCGTATACTTAATATAGATCTAACGCTAAATTAGAATATAGGAGGGTTATAAAAGAGCTAAATTATAACTATAATAGGCTAAACCTAGTAGAATTAAACTTAATTTAGCTTATTTAAGCGCTATTCGCTATTTAAGATCTCTAAGTATTATAAGCGTTATATCTTATACTAGTGTAACGAATACTCAAACTGGCTAACTAAACTTGGCTGGTGTTCGCTGGTTGGTATGCTATGATAAGAAGAAGACTATCGGGTTGTTCACTTGGAAGTGAACTCGTTACTTGTATCAAAGATGTCAAACTAATATGATAAGATTGATAACTAAGTTGAGCACGAAGCTCCTATCTAATTGCAGAAGTGCCAGTCTTATATAGAACCTTCGTTCTCTGTGGTCGCCATGGTCGACCTGGTCGACCATGTCGCTCGTCACGTGATCCCTAGTCCAAGGAAATCCTTGGATCGCTTAGCTAACCTAAACGATCCTCATTTGCTATAAGTCTATGGATGGTGCTTGACCTGTCAGGACGCCGCCTGGTCTTCACTAGTCACGTGTGCACGTGATTCGTGACAACTAGAGCTAGAGAGTTATCTTTCTTATTTGTCTTATCTTTTACCCTTTACTAAGACGAATCTAATCCTTTTAAGGCGAAAGAGGCTAAATAATAAGTAGAATAAGATTAGGTATAAATAGACTACAAATAAGTAATAATAGATATAAGAAGAGAAAAAGAGTAATTAGTAGAAGTTATCCGAGTAGTAAAATAGAGAGTAAATAAGGCTATAAAGAGTCTACTACTAGAGTATAAGATAGATAAGGTTAAACCTAATAGAAGTTTTATACTATTACGGCTAGATAATTAATTAGTATCTATAAGTTAAATATAAGGATTTAATACCTATAGTAATCTATAGAATAGATATATATCTTAGAGAGTTTATAGAGGTACTAAGTAGATAGTACTAGTTTTCTTAGAATAGTATAGGATCTAGAGGCTTATATAAATTATTATCTAATTAACTTTATAAAAGTAATTCTTAAAGTAGCCTTAAGCCTTTTACTTTATATCCTCTTTCTATCTTATCTTTTATACCTAATCCTTTAAAAAACCCTTAAATTGTAACGAATACTCAAACTGGCTAACTAAACTTGGCTGGGTGTTCGCTGGTTGGTATGCTATGATAAGAAGAAGACTATCGGGTTGTTCACTTGGAAGTGAACTCGTTACTTGTATCAAAGATGTCAAA